CTGTGTATAAACTGTATATATGTATAAATATATAAATATATTCTCTGTGTATAAACTATATAAATATATAAATATATTCTTTGTGTATAAACTGTATAAATATATTCTCTGTGTATAAATATATAAATATATAAATATATTATCTGTGTATAAGCTGTATAAATATATGAATATATTCTCTGTATATAAACTATAAATATATAAATATATTCTGTGTGTATAAATATATAAATATATTCTTTGTGTATAAACTGTATAAATATATAAATATATTCTCTGTGTATAAACTGTATATATGTATAAATATATAAATATATTCTCTGTATATAAACTATATAAATATATTCTTTGTGTATAAACTGTATAAATATATAAATATATTCACTGTGTATAAACTGTATATATGTATAAATATATAAATATATTCTCTGTGTATAAACTATATAAATATATAAATATATTCTTTGTGTATAAACTGTATAAATATATAAATATATTCTCTGTGTATAAATATATAAATATATTATCTGTGTATAAACTGTATAAATATATGAATATATTCTCTGTATATAAACTATAAATATATATATATATATATATATTCTCTGTGTATAAACTATAAATATATAAATATATTCTCTGTGTATAAACTGTATAAATATATAAATATATTCTCTGTGTATAAACTCACTCTATGATTCTCTCTTTCGGGTTGAACGGACCGAGAGAGTCGAGGCCGAGTTTGCTGATAACCTGAGGACGGACAGACAGACAGACAGACAGGGAGAGAGAGAGAGACAGACAGAGAGAGAGAGAGACAGTCAGTCTGTTGTCAGTTCAATCTGTCGCAGTGTTGTGGTCTCATGTGGTCTCATGTGGTCTCTGACCAGGCGGACTTTGTGCTCCTCTTCCAGGATGAAGAGTCGGTCTCTCTGGATGTAGAAGTCTGCCGAGTCCAGCAGAGCCTTCAGGGGGATCAGACCGACGATCTGAGAGCCGACCACCGGCAGCTTCAGGTCCTGAACACAACCACAGGCGGCACTTATATACATAAACATACATTCATATATATATATACATAAATATAAATATAATAAAACCTTTCTTAGTTCAGTGCTGTACGGAGGCCTAAAGCTGCCATCATAATAAATAAGTTCATTTAAAGGTAAAAATAAATAACCCTAACCCTAAATGTAAACATACTTTTTTTATTTTTGTTTGTATTCATTTATTTTAAAATTAACCTGCATTTCTATTTGATATATATAATCATATATTTGAAATAAATATTTTATAACTTATTTACTAATTAGGATTTTATTTATTTCTTATTTTATTTATTTATGTCTTCCAGCCATATTTTAATGCAGATTCTGTTCTGTGGTTTGATTACTAACGCCTGAATAGAGACACGCCCCCTCATTAACATATGGATGAAGAAATACATAAATAAGATAAGAAATAAAAACTAAACAGAAATAAATATTTTTGTGCTTAATTATAATCAATAATAGCAGCTATAGTCCTCCATACAGCTCCTATTTACAGTTTTATTAATGAAGTAATTCAATTATTACAACATACTGTATATTGTATATTATAGATATGATTCTGTAATAAAGCTCCGTATTGATCAGTTTGTAAACAATATGTGGCTGTTAGCAGTCAGCTAATGTGAGCTAACAGCAGCAGGTTCTGCCTTCAGTGAACCTGTGGTGACCTCTGACCTCTGCGTCCCTGCGGATCTCCTCGTACACGGTGTGGAGGGGGGTTAGCTCATAGTCCAGGATGTTGGTGGACACCTGAGCAATGTTGGCCTCGTCCAGGTACCAGCCCATCCCCTGCACCTTCTGCAGCCGCCCGGGCTTAAACATTAAAAACTGTATTTTAATTATTGTATTTGTTGTTATTTTCTGTTATTTTACAGATTATTTATCTTTCTTTCAGCTGCTGGAATATTACTGAGAGTAACATTATTACAGTAATATATTACAGTATAGTCGTAAGTAAGAATAAGTATATATAGTGAGCAGTAAAGTAAAAATAGTACATTATATATATATATATATATATATATATATAAATAAGCAGCCAGCAGTGTGTAGGAAATTGGACAATATAACGAACTATTTCAGTAACTAAGTGGTAAATTAATACAAACAACAGTAATAAGTAAAAAAGAAAGTAAATAAAAAGTAGAAATAAGAAATAATTAACAATACGGCCTCTACTGCTGATCGTCATAGCAACGCAGTCAGGAAACAACCAGGAAGTGAATCACTGCCAAATGTTCTTATATTAAATGTGATTGACTCCCAGCATGCACCTGGTCTTTCCCCCGGCCCTGCTCCCGGACATCCAGAGCGATGCGATGAGCCTGCTCCTTGGTGCCGATCAGGTTCACGTTGTAGGCGATGAGGAACTTGCGAGCGCCGGTTACCGTGGCGCCCCACGACGGCACGAACTCGGCAGGGCCGAAGTCAGGGGCCCAACCGTCCCGCTTCAACTGGAGGAGAGAAAGGAGCAAAGAATCCCTGTTTAATCCTTCAAAACAACAGAGAAAATACAAGCTGTTTTCTAGGACTTTTATTTGGAAAGTACAACACATATCTTCACCTCCTGATGTTTAACTTATTTCCTTCCTACATTTCCCACAATTCCCTGTGACAACTATTTTTATACTGTGTTTTTTGATGAACAAAGGATCTAAGCACGAGTTCAACAGGAGGAGGAAGACGCCGGCAGCCGATTGATTGTCGCTGTCTCACCTTCTCAGGTAAAGCTTCGTATTCTCCGGCCCGGACAGACGGAAGACTTCTTCTTGTTTCTTTACGTGCTGCTTCTCCGTAAAGATACACTGCGGATGAAATAAAGTGGTTATCAGTAGCGTTTAAACGACTGATCCTGATCCATTATGACTGAATGCTCAAGAGCGTCCCAATCTGGACTCCTGACGGACTGAGCAGGTCCCTGTACTTTATGCACATCGGAGCATTAAGTATGTGACAGACACAAAGGAAAAAGCTCCACTTTAAGATTAGTTTCATGCACAAAAGCCAAGGATGAAGTTTTATTTCTATCTCCAGAATCACTGAAGTGTGTGTGAATCAGTGCGTCTCACCGGGGACGCTCAGCATGTCTGCCAGTTTCTGTCCGAACACGTTGGCGCAGTTGATGCAGTCGTCCATGGAGACGTTCTGGACGGGGATGAAGGGGCAAACGTCCAGCGCTCCGGTCCGAGGATGCTCACCTTGAACAGGTAACACACACACACACACACACACACACACACACACACACACACACACCAGGTCAGGTCCTGTTTAACACTTCCTGGTGCGTTGCTGCAGGACGCCGCTGACCTGAGTGCTTGCTCATGTCGATGAGGCTGAAGGCCTGCCGGGCGGCGTTCAGTGCGCCCTCCACCACGGCGTCGGGGGAGCCCACGAAGGTGTAGACGGTTCGGTTGGTGGAGGCTCCGGGGTCCACGTCCAGCAGGCTGCAGCCGGAGGTGCCGGAGATGGCTGCTGAGATGGCATCGATCACCTGGAATGCAAGAAAAATGATCAGTTCTTCGTCTTAAAGGAGACTTCAGCTAAAACCGACGACCATCAGCAAGAACACTTTCTGTTTGTAGAGAGTTCTTCTCAGAAACGTCCAGACTGAGAATATCAAAGAACTGACCTCTTTGTTTCGACCCTCAGAGAAGTTGGGGACGCACTCCACCAGCTGAGCCATGGTGTCTGCAAACTGAATGAAAAGCAAGAGAGTTTAACCTCAAACTCACAGTCTGCAGGTCCAACTTCAACTCCCCCTAAAAAAACCCACAACCTCCCACATGTGTTCAATGGGAGGCCAGCGGGTTGAGTCATTACCAGCTCTGCAGCAGGCCTGAATGTGGGTCAGCTGACAATGATTACCACACCGCCTCCTCTGCGAAAACACTGTCAACTTATTCAAACGCTTCAGAAAGCAGCAGTGTAGAGAGCTGCTAGCAACAGGTTTCAGTCTGGTATCACTCACCCCCATCAACAACCAGCGTCATGAACCGACTTCACACAGGATGTTATTTTACACCATTAATAACTGAAAAGGATGGTCAAGTTTTCTTTAGTACTACCTTGCTTTAACCGTCAGGAGGTTTAATTGTGATAATCTATTGATCCTCAGATAGTTAAAAGCATTTTGGGAGGCCAGAGGTCAAAGTTCAGGGTCTGGCAGATAAACTCACTCACAGTTTAACCACAGTGACATGATTTGATCATTTATGATTCAAAAATGGGTTAGCGTGAGGAATAATAGTAACAATATAATAAAACGCAGCAGAAATGGACCAAATTACATAATACAGTTCTTTTACACTAAACCAGACAGCAGTGAAGCGTCAGCTGCTTCCTGGTTGTTGTTGGTGTTAAATATTTGAAAAAGTTGCATCACATGAAGCCAAACTCCAGCAGACAGTGAACGGTTAATGAATGATCAGCTGGATATCTGACAGGTGATTGGTCCACAGGAACAACAACCAGTCCGCCTCCTCAGTGTTGACTCAGGAGGGCTGAGACGTCATAATTTATAGCTGCTTTTAGGTTAAAACTCTTGTTGCTCAGTATTGTTGCTCTACAGGAGCAATAAGTTATATAATCAAAAACAAACCAAAAAGAGGAAACACTAAAGAAATAAATTACAGGTTGAACGACAACACGTACATTTCCAATCAAACCATAATAAAACCTACAGAAGATTTACAAATCAGAGGAATATATCACTTCTTCATGTCCAGACTCACTGATTTGATTTGTGTTTTTGTTCATTAATCAACCAATCAAACTACTAATAGAGCACCTGGTGTACAGGTAGCTCAAAGGGATTGACAGCACAGACTAAAGCTCATAATCTAAACAGAAAAGTCACACATTTTAAATAATAAAGCCTGCAGTGTGGAGTCATTTAATGAAGAACTTTGAGCTTTTGTGTTGAGCTTTATGATTTTATTGTGTGCTCTTTATTACGCTCAGTAGGTTTCCTCAACTGAATATGACCACACTGACACTTTCGCCACTGCAGAACAGCTCGAACATCGGACCACAACAACAACATGAGCAGATTTAATAAACCGGACTGTAAACTTGTGATCTGGAGCCATTAATCAAGATGGACTTTTGGTTTTTCACTCTGGGTAAGAAACCTTCTGTTTGTGTTTTTATTTTGGATTTTTCAACACTTTGCAGGTGTTTGTGAGTTACAGCATTAAGTTGTTTAGTGGTAAAATGTAAGACAATTTGACTCAAACTACTTTAAAGGACATAGGTCATAAGTTTAGCTTGTTATCCAGTCCTGTAAAATGATGAAAACAATTGTGTGCCACCTTCAGAGGTGGAAAAAGTACACACATTCTTATGCGTGTTGGTCATGTTCCGTCTGTTGATTTTGGAAAGGTGTTCAATAGTGCAAAATAATCAATAATTAAAACGCAATAAAACTAAAATAACGAGATAGTAAAATGTAAAGATAGTACAGTGATCTCTGAAAAGATTACCTAAGTACAATAACAAAATATTATAAAGGATACTTCCCACTTGTTGTCACTTTGTTTCTACGAATAAAGCAGCCTGGGAACCAGACAGATCTGCGAGCTCATGTTTTATTGCTGCCCCCTCCTCAAGTCCTGGATCCTACCGGGCCGATCACAACCATGAATACGGAATGGGTTTTATATGACGACTGTTGAATCATGTCAGTATTAAACAAACAAGTCAGTATATTTTCTCTAAAAAGATCAAGAAAGAACTGCACTTAAGCTTTCGATAAGAAGGATGTGTTTGTCATACTTTGGACAGGATTTGGGAAGTTCAGTTGGTTGGTTGGTCGGTCGAGTGATCTACAGAGTGAATGAAGAGAGGGGGCGGCGTTAGTGAGATCAAACTGTGAATCAGAGAAATAAAACGCTATTTTCTGATTGTGTTAATGCAGTTGAGGCGCATCCTTTGCTCAGTCATGGTTCAACTCGGTGTGGCCAAAAGAACCAATAGAAAAGCCCTGACTGTGATCGCACATTAACGGCTTCTTCCTACAAAATAATTATTACGTGTCTGTCTCCTCACAGCTGTTTGTTTGGCCACCTCTAGAACTGGAGCACAGTCAACCTCAACAACATCATCAGCGTCAAATGTCACCAACGTAACCACTGTGTTCCCTGTACCTGCCCTTACCACTACTGCTGCTCCTCCTACGACTCCTCCAACTCCTCCTCCTACCAACAATACCACTACTGCTGCTCCTCCTACCAACACTACCACTACTGCTGCTCCTCATACTACTAACACTACTGCTGCTCCTCCTACGACTCCTCCACCAACTCCTCCTCCTACCAACACTACCACTACTGCTGCTCCTCATACCACTAACACTACCACTACTGCTGCTCCTCCTACGACTCCTCCACCAACTCCACCTCCTACCAACACTACCACTACTGCTGCTCCTCCTACTGCTCCTCCTCCTACCAACACTATCACTACTGCTGCTCCTCCTACAACTCCTCCACCAACTCCTTCTCCTACCAGCACTACCACTACTGCTGCTTCTCCTACTGCTCCTCCTCCTACCAACACTATCACTACTGCTGCTCCTCCTACAACTCCTCCACCAACTCCTTCTCCTACCAACACTACCACTACTGCTGCTCCTCCTACGACTCCTCCACCAACTCCACCAACTCCTCCTCCTACCAACAGTTCAACTACTGCTGCTCCTCCTACTGCTCCTCCTACGACTCCTCCTCCTACTGCTCCTCATACTACCAGCACTACCACCACTGCTGCTCCTCCTACTGCTCTTCCTCCTACCAACACTACCACTACTGCTGCTCCTCCTACGACTCCTCCACCAACTCCTTCTCCTACCAACAGGACCACTCCTGCTGCTCTTCCTACGACTCCTCCACCTACCAACACTACCACTACTGCTGCTCCTCCTGCCACTAACACTACCACTACTGCTGCTCCTCCTACGACTCCTCCACCAACTCCTCCTCCTACCAACACTTCTACTACTGCTGCTCCTCCTACTGCTCCTCCTACAACTCCTCTTCCTACTGCTCCTCATACTACCAGCACTACCACCACTGCTGCTCCTCCTACTGCTCTTCCTCCTACCAACACTACCACTACTGCTGCTCCTCCTACGACTCCTCCACCAACTCCTTCTCCTACCAACACTACCACTACTGCTGCTCCTCCTACGACTCCTCCACCAACTCCTCCTCCTACCAACACCACCACTACTGCTGCTCCTCATACCACTAACACTACCACTACTGCTGCTCCTCCTACAACTCCTCCACCAACTCGACCTCCTACCAACACTACCACTACTGCTGCTCCTCTTCCTACCAACAGGACCACTCCTGCTGCTCTTCCTACGACTCCTCCACCTACCAACACTACCACTACTGCTGCTCCTCCTACTGCTCCTCCTCCTACCAACACTACCACTACTGCTGCTTCTCCTATGACTCCTCCACCAACTCCACCAAGTCCTCCTCCTACCAACACTACTACTACTGCTGCTCCTCCTACTGATCCTCCTAAGACTCCTCCACCAATTCCACCTCCTACCAGCACTACCACTACTGCTGCTCCTCATACTACTAACACTACCACTACTGCTGCTGCTCCTCCTACGACTCCTCCACCAACTCCTCCTCCTACCAACACTACCACTACTGCTGCTCCTCCTACTGCTCCTCCTCCTACCAACACTACCACTACTGCTGCTCCTCCTACAACTCCTCCACCAACTCCTTCTCCTACCAACACTACCACTACTGCTGCTCCTCCTACGACTCCCCCACCAACTCCTCCTCCTACCAACACTGCCACTACTGCTGCTCCTCCTACTGCTCCTCCTACGACTCCTCCTCCTACTGCTCCTCCTCTTACCAACACTACCACTACTGCCATTCCTAATCCTACTGCTCCTCCTACTGCTCCTCCTCCTACCAACACTACCACTACTGCTGCTCCTCCTACTGGTCCTCCTACTGCTCCTCCCACGACTCCTCCACCAACTCCTCCTCCTACCAACACTACTACTACTGCTGTTCCTCCGACTGCTACTCCTACGACTCCTCCTCCTACTGTTCCTCATACTACCAGCACTACCACCACTGCTGCTTCTACTACTGCTCTTCCTCCTACCAACACTACCACAACTGTTGCTCCTCCTACTGCTCCTCCTCCTACCAACACTACCACTACTGCTGCTCCTCCTACGACTCCTCCACCAACTCCTCCTCCTACCAACACTGCCACTACTGCTGCTCCTCCTACTGCTCCTCCTACGACTCCTCCTCCTACTGCTCCTCCTCTTACCAACACTACCACTACTGCCATCCCTAATCCTACTGCTCCTCCTACTGCTCCTCCTCCTACCACTACTACCAACACTACCACTACTGCTGCTCCTCCTATGACTCCTCCACCAACCCCTCCTCCTACTAACACTACTACCCCTGCTCCTCCTACGACTCCTCCTCCAACTCCTACTACGACTCCTCATACTCATCCTCATACTACAACTACTACTCCTACTCCTACTACTACTACGACTACCACCACTACCACTACCACTACTATTCCACTTCCTACTACTCCCTCTACCCCTCCTCCTCTGGTTTGTGACAATGGTGGGATATCACTGAATGGTGTCTGTATCTGTCCTGATGAATGGACCGGAGAGACATGCTCACAAGGTAAGTTGTGTTGAGCAACAGCAGCAAACTTTATTTTTCTAATCATTTAAATTACCGAAAGTTGTTTATGATTTGTTCCTGAGTGAGTGTAAAACATCTGCTCACAAAGTTATTAAACTTGTCCTCTCAGAGAATTTCTGCCGAGAACAAGAGTTGAATGGATTCAAATTCTTAAACACACCCATCGGCTGGTTTGTGTATTCTGAGCAAATCTGTGATCCAGGAACGAGTGCTGGTGAGTTGATTCTAACCATCATGATATCAGTCCAGAAACTGCCATCTCCATCCATTTGTCGGTCTAACATCCATCAATCAGGTGTACGGTAACTGTAACTCCCATCATCTCCATACAGCTGGAAAGCCACAGGCTTCGACCAGATGTTCCGTCAAGAATGGACTGCCGAGTTTCGAGGATCCACCGAAGATCCTTCAGTGTGACCAGTCGCTCAGCGACATACAACAAAATGTAAGAAAACCTCCAAAGCAGTTCCAGTTTGATAGCCAAGCACTTTGATAATGAAGTAGAAAGGCGACCTGTGCACAACCCATCCTGTGTTCCCCTCTCAGCTTACCAGCCCAGCTGATTTAGAGTCGCTGGCAGCCAGCACTCAAATTCTGACCTCAAAACCTGAAGAGCTGACGGCCGAAAACATCACAGCAGCAGTTCAGATCACCAACACGCTGCTGCTGTCTCCGAATGCCACAGAGGTACGAAGTGTCGCAACAAAAGTCTCAGGGAGGTTTTTGGTCGACTAGACGGCAAACGCCGAGTTATTGGACACAAATTCTGTTGTATCAGTCTTGGAGAGCGATCCTCACTGTGTGGGTGTTAATGGTTGTACTGCAGAGCGTCAGGGTGGCAGCGGTAGCAACAGTCAGCCAGCTACTGAACACCAGCACTCCAGACGACAGCAAGGAAAACAACGCTACTCTGGGGTAAACCAAATCTTTTTTAAATCACTGCCAAGTTTGTCTATGTCTCATGTTTAACTGTCCATGTGTTCAACTGTTCTGTCCCTCTGACCTATGTCAGTCAAAAGTTGTTGGATTAAAGGATTAAATCTGGGTTTCAGTACTCTGAACAGACTGTAGTGGATGTGAGGTTTACATATTTCTTCGGTTTTCAGGAACTTCTGTATGATCAAACCATCCACACATATAAAGATGAACAACATGACCGCTCTCCAAAACTGAAGCCAGGACCTCTCTATCGCCCCCTTGTGGCAGACTACAGTATAGCTCATAAAGCCTGCTGACTAAGTCGTTCTTATCACGCAGATGTTTAAGTGCTAATTTTTAAAAAACAAAATGTTTAAGTTATTTTTTCCCCCTTTTTTAAAATTTTGATAGGGACAGCTGAAGATAGACAGGAAAGGGGGGTAGAGAGAGTGGGGATGACACGCAGCAAAGGGCTGCAGGTCGGATTCGAAACCTGGGCCACTGCAGCAAGGACTCAGCCTCAGTACATGGGTCGCCAGCTCTACCGACTGAGCTAAAAAAAAAAAAAAGTGAATTGAAAAGTGTTCATTTTTAATCATCAGTTTGGCAGGTTTGGCTTCAGGTCGAAGGTCAACAGGGGCCTAAAGAGAAAATTATTTTACAAAATATAACACATTTTTGGATACATACAATAAATGATATCAATTAAAAAATAAAACGTATTTTCTCCTGAACATGATCCTGATGATTTGATATAAGTATTTCCATTTATTTCTGTATTTTGTGTCCAGCCTCACGGTGACCCTGGACCAGCTCTCTGTGAACCTGAGCCTCAGTCTCAATACATCTCAGTCTCAGGTGGTCCAACCAAACCTGGTGGTGCAGTCGACACAAATCCCTGCTGCAGGCACTCAAGGAGTGCAGTTCACATCTCTGACAGGTCAGCGTAATGAAATATTGACCCTGAAGCCTCACATGATCAGTTTAACCTCTCGGCTGTTAAAAACTGTATTTCTCAGCTTTTATTAACTGAAGGTCAGTGGTTCTGAGGTGGTTTTATGTGTCCAGAACCATGAGGATTTTAGATCTACTATTCTGACTAGAATATCTGTTTCAGGACTCTGTCACTATTTCCTCTTCCTCTAAATCTTGTGGTCGACGTGATGTCCAGGTTTTTCAAGACGATGCAGCTAAGGTGTTTTATTGTTTTATGATTTTAATAGTCTGTCATAATTTTGCTTTGTGCCCTGCCTTTGTGTCATTTGTCATTTTCAATGGTAACAATTTACTGCTCATAAATCAGAAATTGTTTTTACAATCGTCACAAAACTCACAGGAAAAGTTTTGCAACAATGATGACCCATGTGTGAAACTATTAAAATATCTAACCATCACAGCTGCAGAACGTTTCTTCAGTATCACAGTAATCCAGATAGTTGTTTGTACATCCATGGTACACTGCTAACAGCTAATCATTAATTAACCAAAGTTTAATTCCCCAATATCTTCTCTACGCTCTACGTGTCTCTGCATATATTCTTGTTTAAAATAATAGAATAGAATTTTTATCAAGTATTCACTTCATATATAAAGAGTTTTTCTGTCTAATAGCCAGATGAGCCCTGGGAGTCTGGATGAAGCTAGCTGACATTTATTTAGCTAGCAAGTAAGCTAACGTTATCCAGCTAAAAGCACAATCACACAATATCTTCCATGAGCATGTTGTAATGTTAGCTTTGACTTTGGACTCAGTGTTGTTACATTACTAAAAGTTAAATTTAATTTTCATGTAAGTCATTTATTTGTCCACAGTAAATAATAAAAGCCTCAGTACTCACAATATGCAGGAATAGCTTGGTGTTGGGGGCCTACAGAAGTTTGAAAGAGACAATATTAACAATATTAAAACATTTAAACTAAAGTGCACAAACAAAAAAACATTATCAGAACTTTTAATAAATAAAACTGTGTTTCTCCGTCTGTTTAGGGGCGTCTGGGAGTTTCGTTGCTGACCGAATTCAGCTGAACACCAACACATCAACAGTTGTGGTGGAAAACGGGTTCATAGCCGACACCCTGATATATGTGCGATTCCCACCAGGTGAGTTTTCTTTAAAAACTGGTATTATTCAAATAAAATACTGCTACTACTGTCAGGCTCAAGTTACTCAAAACTACACTGCAGAATGTAAAGGTTATTTTTATATTTTTGTTTATTGTTTAGAAAATGACAACCTGTAGTTTCACCTGACTGAAGTTCAGACACTCCTTGAAATGCACCCAAATCCACAAATTTCCTGAGTTTTAAACCAATTTTCTACTAATGACAATGTAAATGTCTTTATCTCGTGTCTGTAGAAGCTGTCAGTGGTCGTCAGAAGCCATCAAACATCTCGCTGGGTTTCGTCCTCTACCAGAATGACCGTTTCTTTAGGTCGAGACGCTACAAAAGGCAACGGGCCGCCATCAGGGTCTTGTCGGCCAGTGTCAAAGGTCAGGAGCGCAGCGTGGTGCCGCAACATGTGGAGATGCTGTTCAGACCAACAGTAAGACAACCAGCTTCTGTTACCTTTTAAATAGTTCTGTATTAATCATTTAGTTTTCTTTTTAAATGCCACAAGATCTGGTGCAGCTATTTGAGCATATTGCTGAAGGGGCAACCCATCATCGAAATTAATATTCAAATCACAGGAATATGAACGACTATGGTACCAAACACCATCCTGTAGGACGACTTTTCACGCAATACAAGTTAGTTGTTACAAAAAACAGTTTTAATTTAAATTCTAAGTGAAAATCAACCTGTAAAGAATTCGATGTAAAGTGATATATCAAACATAGAAATGTAAATAAAAGTGTAAAGGGGAACTACACCATTGGAACATATCTGAGGTAATAAAAACAGAAAAAATAAGTGGTCCCAGGGGGGCACCTTGTGGAACACCCTTTTCTACAATTAAATAGATTGAGAACCCTGAAAGACAACATACTGATCTATTATGAAGTTAGAATTCAACCAGATAGCTTATCAAGAAGGAAGTAGCAATCAACCACATCAATAACCTTGGAAAGATCAATAAAAACTGCACCTGTGAGTTTATAATATATTAACTAACTAACACCTGCATGCACCCGTCCCTTTGAACTCACACAGTGTCTTCATCTCTCCTTCCATCCAACTGTTTAAATTATTTAATGATTGATTTTTTTGACTTGCAGGGTCACTAAAGATTTATCGGTGCCATAAAAACTGTTGTTGTGAAAAAAGAATCAGAGTAGAAACACAGTGACATCAAAAGGCCATAAAACTAAAACAAGACTGTCCATCGTCACTGTCTTGGTACAGTTCTTCATTAAGGAAGTCGGAGATGCAGGGCAACTCCTTGAGGTTTACTCTGCAGTCTTCTGACTGAATCAATACATACAGATTACATACGTTTATGGTGAATTATCATAGAAGGTCACAGTTCTCACATTTAAGAAGCTGGAACATGAGAATTTGGGGAATTTTTGCTTAAAATACTAACTAAACCAATGGACCCTCAGATATAGATATCCATGAGTTTTGGGCAGTGACCAAAGAATGAAATTGTGGATACAGGTGGCCCAAAACAAGTTTGCTTCATAGGGTATCCGGGCTCAGCCGTAGGGTGAGGAGTTCGTAGAGTCGCTGCTTCTTCATGTTGAAAGGAGCCAGCTAAGGTGGTTCAGACGAGGGATTAGGATCCTCCTGGGCACCTCACTTTGGAGGTTATCCAGGCATGACCAAAGGGGAGGAGACACCGAGGTAGACCCTGTTGAAGGGGCTATATAGCTCATCTGGCCGGGCAACACCTCAGGATCCCGCAGAAGCTGGAAGGCATTACTAGGGGGGCGAGGGATATCTGGAGTATCCTGCTTGACCTGATGCCACCGCGACCTGAACCCACATAAGCGGGGCGATAATGGATAGATGGATTACCAAAACAGTTGATGACTGATATCACTAATATCACCAAAGCTAAGGTGCAGAACTACTGTTGTGAACAGGATAAACATTGTGTGCTTTGGCTGAACAGAGGGACAAGGACAGAGACAGATCTCTTCAAACAGTCTCTCTGCCAAACAAGCATCCATTTTGTTTCCTAGCACATGAATGGACAGCATGCTTCTTGTGCATTCAGACCGAGGGGTCTCAAACTTTACACTGACCTTCGCGGACGTGATGAAAATGATGACCGGGCTTTAGTGTAATTTTACTCACGAGATCTGATGTTTGATTTTAGTGTTGTCTTCTTTCACAAGGTACATTTATCAGTAAAGTCAGAGATTAAGAGTTGATCTATGTGCTGCGGTTTCAGATTGGCAATGGTACGTCTCTGTACGACTTTGCCTGTGTTTTCTGGGACTACAGTCTGGAGGACTGGAGCACTGACGGCTGCTCTAAAGGAAATGCTTCAGACGGACTCCTGAGATGTTTCTGCAACCACACCACCAACTTCGCTGCTCTCTGGGTGAATTTCACAACTCCACACTGACATGATCACAACTTTCAAATAAGAGTAAAGCTTAAACTAAAATTGAGGGAGTCTCTGTCTTTCTGTCCTTCGATAATCTTCACACCCATTCATCTGATTGGTTTCTGGTGTTTCTGAGGACCCGAGGGAGAGCGCTGTCGAGTGCGAGCTCTACAGAGCATAGTTATTAGTAGTGCCTTACTCCTGTCAGAAGTAGACACTGTGTAATATATTGAAAGGGGTCACCTATTAACTGTTAGACAGCCAAACGACGGTGTAACAGTTATACAATCAATGCATTTTTAAAGCTCTAGAAAAACTACCAACCACACCCCCCCCCTATCCTAAAAGCTTTTGACAATTTCAAGCCATGAATGTATTATTTAGAACCTGAATACAGCTTCGCTGTTTGGACTGAATGGACTGACATACATCCATGTTTCAAGCAGATAGCAATTAGCTACGTCAATGCATTGGTCTGAAACCAATTAATTTGGGTACAAGAGATTATTATCCTCCAAGTATGTAACTGATTGACCGCTGTTGTGCTACCACCTTGTGAAAACTAATTTCTGTTTCAGTCATTCAGAGAGAATTATGAGTATGCAGAGGCCCTGGACGCCATTTCCATCGTTGGACTTTCGTTCTCTATTCTAGGTTTGGTTGTAACGATCATTCACCACGTTAAAGAGAAGTAAGAATATATTATATAAATACACAAGCTGTAAACTTCCCGCCTACTTACCCTTTAAGATAACGGTGTACTCCCTTATCCCAGTTATGACTTTTTCTTTAAACCGTAACATCTCTTCAGCTTTCACAGAAACTCTCGCGAGCGAAAGAACAACAAGAACTCAAAGACAGCTCTGCTGTGTATCTACGTCAGTCTGCTGGCCTTCATCATCACCTTCCTCTCTGGGGTCGGAAACTCCAGCAGACAGAATGACGCTCAGACAAACAACAAAAACAACACCATTCCGGAGTCTGACGAGCACGTGGAGCCAGATGCAGGCTCGTGCACGGCGGTGGCGGCTCTGCTGCACTTCTTTCTGTTAGCCACATTCATGTGGAACGCTGTATATGGCACTCAGCTGGTGCTGCTGGTCCGGACTGTGAGTCGTGGTCTTCCTCCGTACTGGAGTAAACTCAGCCTCACTGTGGGATGGGGTACGAGGTTTAAAGTTCAAAAGTTTTCTTTGAAAGTCTTTATGCTCAGCTAAGCTAACCTAAAATCTATATGATGGTTTTTTTGCTCACATGTAGAAATAAAGCCATTTTAACTTCCTGTGTCCACTCAGGAGTCCCGGCAATCGTCGTGGCGATCACACTGGGAGCCACCTACCGGGTGGACAACCCATTGGGATACAGACAGGAGGAATTGTGGGTCCATTACTGTTTTGACTAATTTATTAAAATGGAAAGTGTCTTAAAATTAACAAAATTTGGTCTCCTTGGATGGAAATGAGAACTGGAAATTAATTCCCTGTATTTGATCAGTTATGACTTTTTTATGTATTATGTGTGATCCTGTAGTTGCTGGCTTGCAGCTCTGGATAAGGACAAACAGTTTCACTTTGGGAAGCCGATGTTTGGGGGTTTCCTTCTTCCGGTCAGTCTGATCCTGATCTACAACATTGTTCTGTTGGTTCTGGCCTCTCTGACGACATGCAGGACCGACCCGACCCTAAGGAGGTAACAGCTGTAAAAAGACGAGTCATCAACCGTCCTTTCTCTCGTCATCTTTTCAAACTTTCATCTCCTCAATTGAACTTCAACAAGCTTAAATTTGAACACCAGAAACATCAGTTTGTCAAAACAAGACAGAATGAGGCAGATCGCAGCGCTCTCAAACAGCATAATGTCGTCTATGAATTAGGACACTTAGAAGAAATAATTTGAGATTTTGAGACATCATAATTTAAGAAAAAAGTTGTAATATTTCAAGAACAATTAGTAATATTTCAGGGAAATAGTCAAAAGTAGTAAAAAAAAAAGTAGTAAAATAATATCAAGTAGGTTTGAGAGCAAAAACAAACTTTATAATATTCCGACTAATATTTTACTTTATAAACCTTTTTCTCGTACATTAGTTGCTTTGAGTGTATGAATTGACTGATGGAATATGGACTTTGTTCTCGGAGTATCAGTATTATCCCGACCAACCAGCGTTCATTCTGTTCAGCTTTAGAAGAACTTTAATTCACCAACCTGTGTTTGTTCTGTTGAGCAGCACCCGTCAGTCGTCTTTGACCAGGAAGTTCCTCGTCAGTTTTTCTCTGGCGGTGTTACTGGGTCTGTCATGGACTCTGGGATACCTGGTGCTTGTTACGAGAGGACATGCCCACCTGGTCTTCAGCATTATCTTCTGCCTCTGTACAACCACACAGGTATGTTATCCATTGCCCAGTTATTTTACATTTATATTAACAAGGAGTGAATCTCTTCAGATACATGGGCCGCGATACGATTCAGGGATGACGCATTTTAATACAAAACAAATTTGTGCAATACGACAGGATACGATCCAATGCTGTCTCTGTCCAACAGGAGCAAAATCAGCACTATCAGAACCCAAAAAGAATGAATCACCTTTGTCTTCCTGCTCGTGTGTTTTCAGGGGTTTCAGATATTCATCCTCTTCACGGCCAGAACGCCGACCTTCAGGGCCACCGTGTCGCGGTCTGTCCAGTACGTCTCGTCCATCTCTATCCGGTTTAGCAGCAAAACATACAGTCTGACGAAGAACTCGGGGAGGACGGACAGCTCTGAGTCCTACAGAGCTTGGAACGACCCTGCAGATACTCAAACTTTTGAAATGAAGAGACAATAATGATGGGCTTTGGTGGAAATTAGAAAATGGTTTATTTTAGAAATGTAAGAAATCTTTTATGTTAAAATGGACCATGGAGGATGAGCCCATTCTCAGGAAAACAACTCACCCAAAATGGATTTAAGATCAGATCAGATCAGATAAATGCTGTTTTAACAGTCAGTGATCAAATCTATTCTTTAAACCATCTAAACTGGTCTTAGACTGGCACCACTTTGGCCACTTTATGCTGTTGTTTCATCTGTAGGGGCAGATTATTCTGCACATACTCAGTGTGCTCTTTTAGAAAACTCACTGGAGACAATGAGCCATTGGAGGGCACCAAACTCCAGACAAAGAACTGGTTTCAACATGCAGCAGTTTACAGACACAGAGCTGGTGCAAAGAAATTAAGTACATTTATTCTCTCATTTAAAGGAGTATATTTTTTATTTATTTTGCTACTTTTACTTAAATGTATAATGTGAAACATCTGTTCATTAAACAGTGTATACAAAAAGTAATTTATGTCTGATGTAAGTATGTCTGATTCTGATTCTGATTCTGAAACTCTAGAGCTATGTTCTATATGTAGTTGATTCAATCAATAATCTATAATCAGAAGAAGTCATACATTGACTGTTTACCATTCACTGTTTAGATCTTGGTGCTTTTGAACTCTAGATTTGAACCGGATGAAGGATTTTAGTCATCGGACGTCTGGATCTTAAGTTATCAGAGAAACAAGCTGAGCTAACGTTAGCAGCAGCTCGGCTCGCAGCCCCTCCGGGACGTCCTTTGTCTGTCCAACAGCGTGGGACAAACTACTAATAAAAATTGGCCAATGCTGTTTGTATTATTATTGTTTGGTATGGAAGCCCATTTCTACCATTCAACTGTTCTGTTCTGCTTAAGTGAAATGTATAAAACGAAAAAAAAAAGTCAGAATTATGAGATAAAAAGTTTAAATTATGAGATAAAAAATGAAAGTCAGAACTTCTGACATTTCTGTTCTAATTAGGGGGTTAGTTACCATAAATAAAAATGGCTAAAAGGTTTCCAGTCTCAATTTCTGTCCACTAAACATGGAAACAGAAAGGCTGACGAGGCTCTTTAAAGCCTCTAATGATGCATATTGGTGGTTCAGTGGTGTGATCACAACAGTGCAGACTAGATCATATTTGGAGCCACACAATGTTGCTCCAAAGATTATCATTCAAATAGGTAGGTAGGTCAGTGCACTGTCCTGGACCGTCCATGTGGACTTCATCTGCAATGAGGCACACAGAGTTTGTTTGTTGTTTGAGAAGTAAATCTACTTCTTAAAGGTTATACATACGAGATTATGTACATGAAACTAGCAGCAAACAACTATTCAAGGCAACAGCGCTTTCCTGCTATCAGATTTATCACTTAAGATGTTGCCGCTGCCCTGTATCTACAGCGCTGACCGCTGCCCTGTATCTACAGCACAGTTTAAATACTTGAAAATAGCAAAGATGAAAGGAATGCTGGAAATAAGCAGGGAAAAGGGTTGAATTTGACTTTAACTGCAGGCTTCTGTGAAGGATGAAAGATCAATAACACTCTATAAATCTACCACAGGCGATCTCTCTCCAGACTTCAGTTATAAAAACTGTTTCCAAAGTAAAAGACAAGAAAAGATATAACGTGGAAGAAAAGAAGCTGATTTCGATGGAAAAGGAGGCAGCTGTTCGTCCGTCCTGCAATTTAATCGGAGCTGCAACAGCTGATCCAGGGTTAGTGCTGATTAATGACTTTCTGCTTGTTCAAATGTCATCTGCGAACTTTTGTAGGGTTGGAGGGTTTAAACTTTCTCGATACCAAAGCAAAGAAGCAGTGTTGCTTCCTGTTGAGACGTTGCTGTTTGATTGCTCTGATGTCACTAATATCTGAACAACCAATTAGCAATGGGGTGCTAGCTAGCGATTGTTATGTTGTTGCTAGGAGTTTGAAGAGCTGCTAGGGTTTTAAGGGGTATAATAGGAAGTTGCTAGGGTTCTGAATAGTTTTCACTTTCTGAGGGGTTGCTATGGGTTTAGGGTTGGGGTGTTCAAGGAGGTTGAGTCTTGCACTGGATATCAAATGATTCATGTGGTTTCTGGGTGGTTACTCTGGATTTCCAGAACTTTGGTCAGTATTTCCTGGGACATTCGGGTCATCATCAGTTTCTGCTGGTGAAACTGAAGCCCAGCCTCGTCCACCTTTTTTAGACAATTGTTTTTGGTGTTGCATTCACTTTCCATTCCTACTTATTCAGTCAGTGTCCGAGCACAACGCGGTTAAAGATAGGCAACTTAACCATATTGTTTACTGGGAGTTCCTCGTTGGCCGGAAATAACTGCATCATATTTTCTGTTGAAGTTGGATGCCGACCGCACAGGGCAGCTCAAAGTTAAGCTCAGAACCAGACACATCAAGGACAAAAGTGACAGCTAGAATTATGTAAATGTTTGGCCCAGATGTGACGAGCTTGGCTCTTCTCAGTTGCCGTAGCAGCTGTACAACACCACACTGTCTGTTTTCCTGAAATGAAGGCAGCAACAACAGTGTTTTAATCTTTCTGTTGGCTGCTTGTTTTCTTTCTTTCCGAACTGAGTGGACAGACTGACTCATCCTTGACTCTCTGAACGCTCCAACACCAACTCCTGTCCAACAAAGTGACAAAAAAAACTTCAACTTTTGACTTTGTAGAGTGCATTCTAAAGATTAGGGGCTAAAAGAAGGATTAAAGTGCAAATGATTGATTCTGGAAAGCAGCAGCTGCATGTTACACCTGCTTCAGTGGCTTGACGTCGACATAGAAACCAAAAGAAATTACATTAAATCAACAGAACAAACATCCATTAAAGACGCAGCGCGCAGTGGCGAGTTGAGGTCATCGCACTAAGATCAGAATCTTGGCTAAAGCCGCGTTTGGTCTCTAACGAGGTGAAACCCCTCATTATGTTTTGCTCCACTGGAGTCGGGAAACTCCAGAGAGAGAATCCCCCTGTCATCCAACAGCACCATGAAACTAAAACAGGGGATGTTACCGCGGCAACGCATCGGCCGCATCCAAGTACTGCTGACGACAACAAAAAGAGAAATGGAAGAGAAAATTAGCATAGTGTATAGCATAGTACAGGGGAGGAGTAGTGTTACCTATAATAACACATCATTGTTGATTATTGGTCATAGTTTTCACTAATAATCTGTAAGTAATGTTTTATAATCAATGTTCCTTGTGCTGGTTCTCATCCATTCCATCATGAGTCATCAGTGTGGGAGAGCTGGACCTCCCTCTGAGGGTCTCCCTCTGACTCACTGTTTGTTGTGGACTCTCAGAACCAGCTGTGGGAGCCGGCAACACCAGAACCAGCAGCTCTCAGACCAGTTCCTGCACGGTTCCACTTTTAAAATAAGCTCCTTTTAAAGAGTTTGGCGAACCCTCGTTGTAGCCATGATGTCTTGTGTTGTCTGAGATAACACACAGAGTTTACGTTATACAGGACAATATAAAGCTCTTTATTGTTCTTATGTAACTTAATCACATCTGTTAAAATGAGTCATGAGTCTTTATATGAAGCTCCATCAGTACAATAAACACACTGATTCATGTGAGAGCACCGAAGTTAGCTTTACATCAAGGGTTTCTCCTGAGGAGCCCCTCAGGAAGGGACGGTCTTTGTCTAAAAGCGCGTTCTGTATGACATTAAACACTTTCAGTTAAATAAATGTTGATTTAAAGGGTTTATTTTTATTTTTGAATGCGCTACAGCTACAATCCTACAGCGTGGACAGTGTGCAACACTAGCTAACGTTAGCTTATAAATGGAGTCCGCACACAACACAGAGTCCACAACACAGAGTCCACAACACAGAGTCCAACACAGAGTCCAACACAGAGTCCACAACACAGAGTCCACAACACAGAGTCCACAACACAGAGTCCACAACACAGAGTCCAACACAGAGTCCACAACACAGAGTCCACAACACAGAGTCCAACACAGAGTCCACAACACAGAGTCCACAACACAGAGTCCACAACACAGAGTCCAACACAGAGTCCACAACACAGAGTCCAACACAGAGTCCAACACAGAGTCCACAACACAGAGTCCAACACAGAGTCCAACACAGAGTCCACAACACAGAGTCCACAACACAGAGTCCAACACCGAGTCCAACACAGAGTCCACAACACAGAGTCCAACACAGAGTCCACAACACAGAGTCCACAACACAGAGTCCAACACAGAGTCCAACACAGAGTCCACAACACAGAGTCCACAACACAGAGTCCACAACACAGAGTCCAACACAGAGTCCAAAAGTCCACAACACAGAGTCCAACACCCGGAGTCCAACACAGAGTCCACAACACAGAGTCCAACACAGAGTCCACAACACAGAGTCCAACACAGAGTCCAACACAGAGTCCACAACACAGAGTCCAACACAGAGTCCACAACACAGAGTCCAACACAGAGTCCACAACACAGAGTCCAACACAGAGTCCACAACAAAGAGTCCAACACAGAGTCCAACACAGAGTCCACAACACAGAGTCCACAACACAGAGTCCAACACAGAGTCCACAACACAGAGTCCAACACAGTGTCCAACACAGAGTCCAACACAGAGTCCAACACAGAGTCCAACACAGAGTCCAACACAGAGTCCACAACACAGAGTCCACAACACAGAGTCCACAACACAGAGTCCAAAGTCAAAGCTAACATTACTGCTAAGCTAGTGCTAAGCAACAATAAAAGATGTAGCGGTACAAAGCTAACAATAGCTTTCTACTAGCCGAGAGCGATGCAAGGCAGGGACATCCAGCGAGCTAACTGTTGCTAAGCTAAGCCGGAGTTGTTTGTCTGGCTGTGCTTTGTGGTTTTGGCTGATGGGGGATTTGTAAATGGCAAGCTAGTTAGTAGCATGGAGCTAATGGTCCAAATAAAATAACGGAACATTGCAGTGTATTAAATGTTCAGGAGAAAATCTCATAATTGGAAGATAAATAAACACAGATTGTTACATAATCCATCCTGATGTGAACCCTCTGCTGCAGGGTGGTTGGTTTCCTCTGCAGGGGTGTAGAGGCGGGGTGGGTGGGGACAGTATGTGGAGTCTGGAGCAGATTAAAACCTCCTCTGATACGAGATCTGCTCTGACTGGAAGCAGATGTGGAGTTAAAGTACTGCTGAGTGTGCAGGGTTTCCCTCAGGCAGCGTTCCTAAAGCTAACCATGCTAACAGACTGAGGCTAAAGCTAACAGGTGTGGTTGTTGGTATGTGGGAATCTTCATACTTGATGTGTCCTTAATTCGTCCCTCGACTCTCAGCCAATCGGCTCCGCGGCCGGGACCTGCCAGGACCAACCAGCGGCTGGTTGTTGAAGGCCTCCCCGGCTGCACAGAGCTACGAGCTGTAATGTGATTTTCTCTTTAATGACGGTGATGAGCAGCAGAAACATGTGAACACACAACCTCTCACAGAGGACGGGAAGGTTGGCGGTTCGAATGTTTGATCCAACAGTGACAGACGAAATCACATATCCACCCATAGCATTTAAATAGAGATAAAGTTAGTGAGGAGGCAAGCTAATGTTAGCCGAATTTCTGTTGGACTCGTTTGGAAACGTTAGCGGACTCCAATTATAAGCTAACATTAGCTAGTGTCGTAGTGCCGAATTAGCTGTTAGCACTTCCTGTTAGCATCGTACAGGTGAGCTATCACTGGGTTGCTGTGATACTGAAGAAAGGTTCTTCAGGCAGGTTCTGCAGCTTCCTCAATAATCTCTCCTCTGGATGTGGAGGCCAGGCTCCCAGGGGCCCCGACAGCCATCGGACCCCCGACGGCCATCGGCCCCCGACGGCCATCGGCCCCAACGGCCATCGGCGAGCGTCGATAAATCGCACAGCGGGATCAAACAGCGGGAGGTCTGAAATATCACTGAGTGCGGTTTGGCTCATCACACCGTTGTTACACAACCTGCACACGGAGGTTAAAGAAACACCACAGAGACCTGAGCTCCAAACGCCACAGGAGCCAGAACCCGGATCCAGAACCCAGAGCCAGAACCCGGAGCCAGAACCCGGATCCAGAACCCGGGTCCAGACTCAGCAGGAGGTTTTCAGCTCATATTTAGCTTCCAGCACGAGGAGGTGAAAAGGTTCTGATTGATTCAGTGTTTCCTTTCATCGTCGGAAAAACGTATTTTCGTGAGTTTGAGGCGTCAGACAGTCGCTGCCCCGCTGCGCTGTGATTGGTGGAGCTCGCTGCCCGTAGAAGAGCCAGAACGTCCTCAGAACATCAGTCACTGAAACTATCTTTAACATTCATATGATCCTTTACCGGCAGGTAGGAGGGAATGAGAGCAGGCTGATGGCTCTTCAGCTGATCCTCGCCGCCGCCGTGCGTTCATCCATCAGAGCGAGCGAGCTGTCGGCACCGACGCCTCCGAAGAGCTCGGAGAGGCAGCGTTCAGAGGAACATCCATCTTGTGCCGAATCCGGGTTCAGTGACGGAGAACGTCAGCAGGAATCAGTTAGCTTTAGCCTCACTGTTAGCATCGTAACCTGGGACCTGATAGCTTTAGCTTCACTGTTAGCATCGTAACCTGGGACCTGATAGCTTTAGCTTCACTGTTAGCATCGTAACCTGGGACCTGTTAGCTTTAGCTTCACTGTTAGCATCGTAACCTGGGACCTGATAACTTTAGCTTCAGTCTATTAGCATGGTTAGCTTTAGCTTCACTGTTAGCATCGTAACCTGGGACCTGATAGCTTTAGCTTCACTGTTAGCATCGTAACCTGGGACCTGTTAGCTTTAGCTTCACTGTTAGCATCGACCTAGCTTCTTCACTGTTGCCGTAACCTGGACCTGAAACTTTAGCTTCAGTCTATTAGCATGGTTAGCTTACTCACTGTTAGCATCGTAACCTGGGACCTGTTAGCTTTAGCTTCACTGTTAGCATCGTAACCTGGGACCTGTTAGCTTTAGCTTCACTGTTAGCATCGTAACCTGGGACCTGTTAGCTTTAGCTTCACTGTTAGCATCGTAACCTGGGACCTGTTAGCTTTAGCTTCACTGTTAGCATCGTAACCTGGGACCTGTTAGCTTTAGCTTCACTGTTAGCATCGTAACCTGGGACCTGTTAGCTTTAGCTTCACTGTTAGCATCGTAACCTGGGACCTGTTAGCTTTAGCTTCAGTGTTAGCATCGTAACCTGGGACCTGATAGCTTTAGCTTCAGTGTTAGCATCGTAACCTGGGACCTGTTAGCTTTAGCTTCACTGTTAGCATCGTAACCTGGGACCTGTTAGCTTTAGCTTCAGTCTATTAGCATGGTTAGCTTTAGCTTCACTGTTAGCATCAGCAAATCGAAGTGTGTGTGAAGCTGAGAAATGGTTATTGATTATGTGTCATTGGACTGATTAATATTAATATTTATAAACTCTCTAAGCTGTCAGATAAAAGTAAAAGTACTCGATTACATTCCTCCATCGGCCTGCTGGCTCCTGATTGGCTGACTGTTACATAACGGCTGCGCTCGGGGGGGCTTCCTCCCCTAAATGAGAACCAGAGGGTTAGCTCTTAAACGCCCCCCCCCCAGGGTCTTAAACATCTCTGAAAGCGTACAGCGAGCTCACGTGCACCCCCCCGCCCCCCCGGGGACGGCCATTAGGTTTTAAAAAGAGCTCTCTGAGCTAATTCTCCGTCCTGTAAAGAGCTGCAGGTCGGCGAGCTGGGTCCTGAGAGCCGCATCGTCCTCTCAGAGCCTGATCACAACCAGCCGCTCGGCCCCGCGGGGCCCAAACCTCGGATTAAGACGGTCCCGACAGCCTCTGCTCGAACAATCAGCCCTCCTCCTCCTGGGCCCCGGTCCACGTCTGTTTAAGAAATCAGGCTCCTGGACCCGGCGGGAGGTCCGGGGGCCAGCGCTGATTAAGTGATGTGTTTTGGAAGAGACGGTTCGGGTCGAGCTTTTGTTTGAGGAAAATCTCCATGAGAGCGAATGATGACGGACAGAAGGACGGACACTCGGATAACCTGGAACCTGTTAGCATGGCCTTAAGCTAGGACCTGTTAGCTTTTAATTATTCACATTAATTAAACAACAATAAATTGTTGATGCAACTCAGTTATTTTAGTGAACTTAAATGTTTGCAGTATTTTAATTATTGGTGATATAATTCCATTATAAAAACGTTAGCATTATAATGCTGTATAGCTTAGCATTTCATTTCAGTTTAATAATCGATTAATTGGCTGCCGTTCTGATAATCAATCATCCTGAACTGTGAACTAATTTCTCTCCAAAACATTTTAATTTGTATTTTTGTTATCCATGTGCTTTTATTTTGAAGCAGCTCAGGAATGAGTGGTATGTGAGCTGCGATTGGATAAACTGCACGAGGTCGTCTTTAATGACGGAGGTCACCACCACGGAGGAAGAAAGCAGGCGGGACGAGGACTCTGGCAGCCCTCTGGATTCAAGGACAAGCTGGACCTGGACTGGTCTGTGCTGGATTATGTAACTGGGTTTGATGGATACCAGCTCTGCCGTTCAAGGACAGACGTCCTCTCAGGTTCTTTCTACACATGGACTTCCTCCTGGTCCACGTGTTGGGCGGTGATGGAGCTCTGGTCTGGTTTCTCTCCGACACCTCGTCCAGCAGCCGGAGGAGAGACTCACGTTCCAGTTGGTTGTCATAACGATTCAAACTGTCCGAGTTTATCGAATAAAAGCTTTTTCATATATTTTCACAACGTCTGTCTCTACCATATTGATTAGGGATTGGTTTCAGTTCGGATCCTGTCATTAAAACTAACATATCCATCCAGATCGCTAGCTATAATGTTAGCTACGCTGAATGATAAGTAACCTGCAGGAGCCAGATCAGCCCCGAGAGTCTGGATGATAGCGATAACATTAACTACAAGTTAGCTGAAGGTAACCTGCAAACAGCAGTTAGCAGACTCCATTTATAAGCTAACGTTAGCTAGTGTTGCCCACTGTTGGCACTCGGGAACATAAAGGTCACAACCTTTGACCCTCATCCTACATAGAGACACATAGAGACACATAGAGATCAGTCCACAGGCAGCAGAGGGACAAAGGGACACTACAACCCGTTCACTCTCTGCTGATCAATAAAAATCAATAGCAAGAAGAAAGCAGTTTTCAGAATCGACCAGCACTCAGAAAGACGATAGGGAGTCGATGTAATCACTGAATATTGAGACTTGGGTGAAAATATACTTGGAGACGTTTTCTTTCCATCGCTGTGAATCTGAGAGTTCTGACTTTTATTTCTGCCGTCTGGAGAATAAAACCAGCAGCCAACCAGACATCAATCTCCTCGCTCCTCCTGGATTCTTTCAATCGGAGTTCTTGCAGCCATTTATGACATAACAGCTCCTTCTGTCCTCTGAACGCCTCCCGTTATCTCGCCCCGCGTCCACGCACACGCTCGCTAATCCATTCCATGTGTGCGTTGACGAGCTGATAAGTCTCCGTTTCCCTCCTCTGGTTCACATTTTCAGCTCACGGTCCTGCAGAAGGATCTTTGAGTCCGGGTTCGCCGCCCGGATGAATAAACACGTCCACGCCGCTGTCAGCTGAGAGTGTGGAGACCGAGGACGGCGTTACACTTTCAGAAAAATCCTTTGATCCGTCAGCCATCTGCTTAAAGACGTTCATTTAAGATGAAACGTTAAGATTGTGTTCTTTGTTGACAGAATCGATGGTGAGATCGGCCACACGTTATTTCTAGGCCCACCAGACTCCATTCACAAAACCAGTGATTTTCCCCACAAAGACAAACCTTTAGTTAAACCAGAAACAGTCGTAATATCACTATGACTCTTCACCAGACTCCAGAGATGAAAACACTTTACCTTCAGATCATTAAAGTGGACAGAAACAGAATAAAACTGATTAAACCGTCTCTGTTAGTGTTTTTCCAACAATCATCAACTCTGGTTTGGTGGAAATAAATCCTTAATTCACCAACGTAGATGATAAAAACAGCAGTTTTTTCAAAGTCTCATTTATAACCTTTAAACATTTTACATTCAACACAAGCCATGAAGGTAGAAAGGACAATTAAAGATGCTCAATAAAACCACTCTGAATCTTCTGCAATCATTTCTATGACTGTCTTAAATTAGGATTTGGAAACTTGAGCCGAAGAGGGGTCTGAAGAGGGGTCTGAAGAGGGGTCTGAAGATGGATTATACAATCAGGATTGATCTGGTCCATGTGTGAGGGCAGAAATCCAGTCAGGACTGCAGTGTGAACGGAGCCGCTGAGGAGGAAAACATGAGCAAAGAGGTGATCTCAGGTCAGTTTTAAAGCCTTCGACCACACAGTTGTTCTCATGTTCAGGGTCAATAAACCACAATGAACCTCCACCAGGGCCAGGACCAAGACCAAACCAGGACCGGAGACACAAACCCAACATTTCAGAGCTGAAAACGTCTCTGTGAAAGAGATTAAGATGAAGAACTCATCACCAGCAGTCAGGGTCATCAATCTCAGAGCTTCTCGCCTCGGCAGAGTCTGGGGTTCCCCCTCCCTCCCTCGTCGTCCCCTATCCTCCCTCGTCCCCCCCCCCCGCTCAGGCTGGCCAAGCCTTCTAAAACAAGGGAATCCCAGTCCAGATTAGTTTGGAGGGGGAGTTCCTCCACATCGTAACTCATCTGTCAGAGTAACTCGAGGGAGGAACAAAGAGACAAACGAGGGAACAAAAGAGGAAAACATTTTGAGTCCAGATCAGGAACTCTGGAGAGGACCAGTCTCAGTCTTAGTAAACACCAACAAATCCCAAGTCAATATAGACAGGTCCCAGGTGAAGACTAGTCCAGAGTCATGTCCCAAATCAAGACCAGAAAGTCTCTTTTCAAGACCAACCAGTCCCAACTGTTGGTTGTCTCAGAATGAAACTTTCAGTACAAACAGAAACTTTTAAAGTTTGTTGACAGATAACGTGAAAGTTCCTGTAACAAAAAACGTCTGTGCAAACGTTCATCACAACCTCCAAAAGCAGAGAGACGTTCAGGGCCGAGCTGCTGCTGCCGGTCGAACTCACTCACTGCGAAAACAATTAACAACTGAACCTCCGCGGACCCAGAACTTCCTGCGTGGAGGGGGAGCGCTGAGACAAACGGGACGTTTAGATGCTGGAAAAACAATGTTGAACAGATGGATGACGCACAGAGGACGCGGTTACAGCCAAGACTGTCCGGCAGGTTGGTCCGTGGACAGGTGCAGGACGGGACTCTTCATCACAGTCAAAATGATGATTTATTATCTTAATTTTAACCTGAGCTGCATCAATTGATCATTAACAGGCAACAATTTGATAATAAAATGAGCACTAATTTTATATATATATATATATATATATATATATATATATATGAGGTTCAAAGGTTTCGTGCTGTTTTACAGCTCAAACAATTAAATCAATTTATTTATTGTCAGATGTTTTCTTTTTCTTCACCGTAGAACGAAGATACCAGGTTAGAAAATCTTTTGCTAATTAATGAGTTATTATCTCAGAATCCAGAGAAAGGTTATCAACCCATGTTAGTCTGCCGGAGGCTGGTTATGGGATTCTGGATAGACTCGGGGGCATGGAGAGTCTGCTGGAGGTTCTTGGATTTGGGGTTTTGCAGCATAATAAAAAGGTGCAACTTTCTCCTAATGCAAGAAACAGAGAAATCTTAATATTAAATTAAATGTAATAAAGATTTCTAAGATCTCCTGTTACGTTTGTCAAACGACTTAAACTTCGTCAGCAGGACGTTTTCCTTCCACTCCGAGGCTCGCAGCTGATTATGACTCCCGTTATTTTCACCCGCCCTCGCAGTTCAGGTTTCATCGCAATAAAACTCTGAAATTAAAGCTCCTGTTTGTCTCTGACCCACAAATCAAACAACAGCAGGCGGATATTTAACGGTTCTATCGTCATGAATTAGTTTTACTTTAGTACTTTAGTTTAGAGCCAAAAAGGATATTTTTAAACGTCAGGAAGAGTGGGTGTCTCCGCTGGGTTTCGTTCTTTCTAATGTTCATAAAGAGCTTTGGGGGGTTTTCCTCTAGTTGAGGAGGCGAAATAGAAACATTTGACCTTCAGTCCGTCTGTTCGTGTTTTGCAGGATTACATAACTCGCAGCAGTTTCCCTCCACTCGCTCTCATTAACATGAACTCTGCAGCTCCGTGTGTGTTTTATATATCCGAGTCCAACAGATCAGCGTGACATCATTTCCTGTGTTTAACTGCTCAAAAGATGACTTTTCATCTCATGTTGGGAGAAAACCCCGTTTTCTAAATCCCAGAAGCTTCAGAGACTTGGACGCGCTGTCGATTGCAGCGCAAACAAGTGTTTCACATGTCATTTTATGTGTTTTTCTCGCTCATTTTCAGTTTTACCGACATAGTTTTACGCAGCCTGCCAAAAGCAAACAAATATGGACGGACAAGGAAACTTTGCGGTGCACAATTTGGACAGAAGTAGTTTCAGTGTAAATCAGCCCGGAAAAAATATTCAAGGTTTGGATGGTTTTGGAACTTTTGAAGATGAAACAAGAATAAAAAGGTTTCTGTTTCTGTAGAGATGCTCGTTATGAAAACTTTAATTCAAAACTAAATCTGAGGTAAAGAGCTTCATCGTCGGCATAGACAATTATTTAAAACTTTTGGACGCATATTAACTTAGATATACCCACACTTTAATAGCTTTAATTGGAGGCTTGAAGTTTTATCCATTTTAGTTTAGTTGTGTTATGCCCCCACTGCTATGCAGCTAGCGCTATGAGTTAGTGTCTACTTCTCAATGAACACAGTTTGACCCGGGAACAAACACAATCTCATAGACCAGCAGGGAATCCAGTACCGAGGTGGTTTTCTTGGCTGGTTTGGCTCCTGGCATCCCAGGGCTGAGTCAGTTAGGTTAGCCAAATGGCTGACCGAGCTAACGGCAGTTAGCAGTTGGCTACTTATCAATCTGTCCATCAGGAAACTCGAATGATGACCTCTGTACTTTAACTTTACTCCCTGTTGGTCTCAGAGGCTGTGTTCGATCCCGGTCCAGCTGCTGAGCCCGGTTCTGTCGCCCGCTAACAGCAGATACAGTTAGCAGCAGGTAATTAGCGGTTAGCTACTTTTGGTACATCGAGTCCTTAACTAGCTAGTGTTTTGCTAACATTAGCTTTAAGATGTAACTGGCTAACTAACAACTGATGTAGTTTAGCTAGCTAGTTACCTAGCTATGGAGCAAAACGCTAGCTAACTAACGATTGATGTTACCAACAACAGCTTTCAGGTCTAACTTGTTAGCTAACGATTAATGTAGATTAATACATCAAATCTATAAATGTGTAAAAAGTTAAGGACTAAATAAAACTTTTTGAGGATATTAAATGAAGCACATCTTCATCTTCAGCCGGAGGAAACCTCTCACCGGTCCATCATCACGCCGTCTCACGTTCTCGCTTTTCCTGATAGAAGCCTTCCTGCAGCCGCCGACGTGGGTCGACTGAAAGGATGCAGAAATAAAACTCCATCAGTAGAAACGGGGCCTAATTAGCTCACCGCCCGGGTCCTCGTTAATGGGACCTTCTAGTTCCCAGAGGAACCGCTCTCGTGTTACATAACCGTGTAAAATTACAGCAGAGCTGGCGTTTTATTCTGACGAGATTTCCTGCTCTTATTTTCTTTTTTCTCCCTCTCCTGAATAAACCTTCACTTCGAGGCAGAAGCCGACCTCAAGTAGTGCACCGGTTGCCACGGCGACGGTACATAAAGTGTGGAAAAATGATGTAATCCGTCACGTCGCCGCTGGTGTTTCGACTGCGGTGGGACTGGTTACACTAGGGGGTTGTGGGTAATATTAAATCTCCGTCACTTTAATGACTCAGTGTGTCAGAGAAGAATCTGAACTTCCAACCAAACCACATTCACAGTTTTCCGTCTTTTAAATTCTTCTCTGTTTGAGCACGAAGAACTGAAGCTGAACGAAAACCAACAAATACAGATTATTTAATGGATTCTGGATCTTGTGACACTTCCAGTTCATAGTTTTAAAGCTCCGGTGTGGAACATTTACAGGCTTTGTTGGCAGAAACACACTCACTCTCTCCAGGATTCATCAGGCTTTTTTAAAGATTGTTTTGACCTTGTACCTTTGTGAAATTGTAGAAAAACAACAAAAAAAGTAATTTTCTGTAATTACAATAGTTATTAACTTTAATTTGACACAAAATCCAAAGTATTTTTTTTGTCTTTTTAATGTTTAAGTAAATATATTTACAGTGTAAAACAATGATCTATAAATACAGGTAAACTCTGCTATAATACAATAATCAAGCTTACATTTACTTTTATTTAATTAGTTATTATTGGATTATTATTATTTTAATGTGAATGTTAAAAGTTATAGAAGTGTAATAAAGTCATTATCTGTGAGATTACAGTAATTATTGCTGTTTACACTGATAACAACTGTATTTGGACAGTTTACCAATGCTTATACACTGATAAACAACATTTATTCTACTTCCATCATTATACAACATATCTGTCTGTTAACTCACTAATACATTAAAGTTACACAACTAATACTTTTTACTGTTAATGTCACTGATTTTACATATTTTATAAACTTATTAACAGTATAAAACTTTAAGCAGATTTTTGCAAATGTATTTCAGACTTTTTATGTTATTTTACATTTAGAATTTACAGGCTGCTTTTCGTAATTCTATTAATATTTCCATGTATTTAAAAAATACATAAAAAATCTGTAAACTTTTCATTTGTATTATAGCAGTGTTCCGTTGTATTTATAGGTCATTTAATAGTTTTTACAGTGTGAATATCTTTAATTAAACATTAAAAAGACAAAGATGTTATGTAAAATTAAAGCTAAAAACTGTTATTTACATTGAACCAGCCTGATAATATAAATATATAAATTCATGTGGAGAATAAAAACCAAAGACATCTTTTTAAAAAAACGAAAAACTTCTTTATTGTTGGAAATCAATATAGAAACAAACGTATGTAGAAAACATCGACAGCACAACCTCGTGGTACATTCTCACTGTTTTATAATAACGAGTCTACGCGTGAATACAGTCGGGGCTGAAACTGAAAGGCACAGTACGGGAAACAGCATTCAGTCGGGCGCTAGAGAAATGCTAACCTTTATCATACTCCACAATAAAGCGCTTTGTATGGAGAGGGTTTGACGCAGGGTGGGAAATTAACGGCAGGCACAAGCTGTTATAGGCAACTATAAAGCACAGTTAGCATGTTAGCTTGTAATCCAGGACTATCGTACCAGAACATTTGTCACTTTCCACCACAAATGGTGCTCAGAAAATTCTTCCCATAATTCATTTTATGCATGCCTGTGAGCTAGTGGAAAAAATAGGCAGTTGCTATATCTCTGCTAAGCTAACGGTGCTTTAGTTGTACTTTAAATGTTCTTTTCTCTACTACAAGTCCAATATTTCTGGTGAAATGCAGATACCGCACGTACCGTAAACTACCATGAATGTAGCATTTTTGTTGGTGGGCACTTTAATTGTGGTTAAAAATCGAATTTGTAGCCATTACAATCCCTGCAAACCAAGCTAACGCTGCTTCAGTCAGGGTTCGCGTTAGCCTGGTTAGCAAGTTCTTTAGCTTTCGTGGGTAGAATAAATAAAGAAGCTTTACAAATGCAGTACATAGAGTTTTAATTGCTAGCTATCAGGCTACACCGTTAGCTTCTCATCCTGCGTTAGCATGAGGCCACAAGAAGAAGAAGAGCGCATTATCGTACAGTAAAAAGAACAAAAAGGCCATTGTGAGGGAAATGCATCGACAAAAATGTATTAAAAACATACATTCTCTCCATATACATATAAATACATTTCTGTTGTGCAAATTGCAAGTGAAGAAGCCTCCGGCCGGCTGGTTGTCAGCAGCTCGCTTCGGTAACATCGGCACATCGGATGTTTGACGTCGGGTTTTAGACCATTTTCCCAAAAATATGTTTCAAGCACTGAACATCAGAGCTTTATTGTGTTTTTATCATTATGCTAAAGCTTACGTTAGTCTTGTTACCTGATGAGAACAGCTCTAAATGCAAACAGTTTAAATTTTCTGGCACTTTTTCGTAAACAAAATTTGATATATATTGTATTACTGTGGTATACAAGTTCATTCTCCGGGTCTGTGGTCGTAGTACTCGGAGCACGTACACGCATGAGGCAGAAATATCGGAATATCCAGCAAGTTTATCGCACATATTCTCCACACGGAGCAGCTTTTCTAGCTTCGTAGCCAGTAGAAGACTCGCATTACGGTTGTTCCTTTAAAACCTTTTAATGTGGATCAACAGGAATGAGCTCGAACAGCAGAACCGTCGTAAAAGACTTCCAACCACTTTAACCTTGTTGTGCTTTGCTCTGTAACAAAAAACACTAGCTAACTAGCTACCTAATAATTGATGTAGCAAGCTAGCTAGTTTGGCTAACATTAGCTAGCTAACTTAAGTTTTAACTATGTATATATGTCACTTTTATCTTTGAACCAATTAGATGACTCCTTCCCTGTACTTAGATTTGCTATATGTTAGACTAATCTATGTTGAAAAGACAACCACATTTTGAGGATGGTTAAAAAATAAAAGATATATGTCACATCTTAAGTTAGGTGATGTTAGCAAAACAGTAGCTAACTAGTTAGTTAGAGACTAGCAGACGGGTTTTAATGGAAGCGTAGACCGGTATCAAGCAGGCGGTTAGTCTCTTTTAATGCGGATCAACAGGAATGAGCTCGAACAGCAGAACCATCATAAAAGACTTCTGTTGGACCAACATGGAGAAATGTAATCAAACACCTTTTTGATAAATAACATCTCACAAGTTATGAAAATAGTATTCCAGGGAGCCAGCTTCCCATTATTTTAACACAAAATAAAATATATCTAGCGTGAGTTTGCCACCCCCCTCACGCTGCAGAGAAACCTCCACGTATCGAATGCCTTGTTGCTTGATAAATAGTAAAGATGAGGCATGTTTGCTATTACATATTTGTCTTTAAATGCTCTCTCGTTACTAATTCCCTGACGATTATGTCCTGTACATGTTTTTACAGCACTGGGTGGGTAAAGTGAGGCAGTTCAGAGGTCCGGCAGATTCGTGAGGACCCCCGCTGTTGTCGCCATCCCAGCCTAGGCGACTGTCTCTTTCCGCTGGGCGTCTCTGAGGACGACTCAGTGTGTTCACCACTTGCCGGGGATGGGCGTCCCACACTCGTACCATGAGACGTAGTTGACGTGGGAGTGTCCTCCAATCTGTCCAAAGTGGACAGGTTCCTGACGCATCGCTCTGTAGAAACCTGGAGCGAAAAAACAACACACACATCAGTGAGAGGTTGAATAGCTGCACAGGATTAACTAAGCCCCACCCCTTTTTGGCAAGCCTCAGTCAACTTCCTCCTTTCCTGTACTTCGATATGCTACGTGTTAGGCTAATCTATGTTGAAAAGACAACAACATTTTGTAAAATACTCTGAGCTGAGATTTTAAGTGTTTACCGGGTCTGGACGGTAGCTGGTCGGCTCTGAGCTGCCTGCCGGTTCTTCCATCCAGGAACGAATCCACAAACTGACAGTGATCCTCACCGAAGCCGGTCTGATCTCCGATGTTGTAGAATTTACCTGAAATGAACAGAGATGGATTAGCACAGAGCTGAAATAAACTCCAAAACGAGGCAGAAAATTAGTGAACTGAACTCACCGTTGAGCGAGTCGCTCAGGTAGATCTTATACCTGAGTGAGTTGCACAGCTGGACGCCCACAAACTTTCGGTACCAGGTCCTCTTCACGTACTGTTTGCCGTGGCAGTCGGAGTACGAGTCCGTCTTAAAGGGAAACTGAGTCCAGATGGCATCTTTTCCTGCAGAGACAGGAAGGTTTGACTACGCGTTGCTGACGGACATAATGACGGATGACACTGAAGCGTTCTTTAACCTTACCTGAGACATTCTCGCTCACCCGCGGGTCCGCTAATGGAGGGAAATAAAGATCAATCAATACAGCTCTAACAATGTGGTTGTTCCTGACAGTAACACATACATGTATCAGGACAAAAGTATGAAGTAGCACACAAAAACATTCACTGAAAACACACAATAACATACACTAAAAACACGAAAAATACAGTAAAAACGAGAGAAATACACTAAAAACACACAAAACTTACACTAAAAACACAAAAACATACACTTAAAACACAAAAATATACACTTAAAACACGAAATATACATTAAAAACCGGAAATATACACTAAAAACACACAAAACGCGAGTGAAAACTTGACAACCAGATTGTCTGTTGGTTTAAGAGACTAGCTTTCGTGGGAGCATACCCGACTCTGTGTTGAAGGTCACGGGTTCACTGGGAGGACCTGCGCCCAGCTCGTTCTTTGGCTTCACCTTGAACTCGTAGCTACGGAGAAACAGACAGCAGTCGAATATGTCACCAGTGGAAAGGAAACGTCTGTGACCTGCTCATCGTGAAACCATCCACTCAGTTCTGATGTGAAATTAAAGGACCTTGCCAATAGCAACATGAGCAAGTTAATATCGTGAAAATGACTTCCTAAGGATAGAAAATATTATAAAATATCGTATCGCAATATTTTGTTTTGTGATATTGTATCGATTCTCAAAAACAATTAAAAAAAACTCAGTTTTCCAAAAATTTGATTTAAAAAACTACAGAAAACTACAACAATATACTGACTCTTAGTCTCCATATCGTGATACTTACCGTATCGTATTGTGATACTTACCGTATCGCGATACTTATCATATCGTGATACTTATCGTATCGGCAGATTCTAGTCAATACAGACTCTTTTGTTTACAAAATCTTTAACATTCGTCAAATTTGCTGCTTTTGCTTCAAATTACTGTAATAATTTATATTTTCAATGCAGTACTTACTGCAGTAGAGTATTATTACAGTGGTATTAGTATTTTTACTGCAGTAATAGAGTATTATTAAAGAGCGGTATTAGTACTTTTACTGCAGTAATAGAGTATTATTACAGAGCGGTATTAGTACTTTTACTGCAGTAGAGTGTTATTACAGAGCGGTATTAGTACTTTTACTGCAGCAGAGTATTATTACAGTGGTATTAGTACTTTTACTGCTGTAGAGTATTATTACAGAGTGGTATAAGTACTTTTACTGCAGTAGAGTATTAGTAGTACTTGGATGAGGGTTTTAACATGTTTCTAGACCTCAAATGTTCACAAATGTCCATGCGACGCTTTTACTTAAATGAAGAACAACCTGTCTGCTCGCAGCTCAGTTCTTTTAGATGCTTCCAGCCACCTTCCTTTACACCAAATACTTTTCCCATATCCAGGCTCATTAAAACCTCAGCGAGCTGTGACGGACCAGCTCTGCTTATTTTGACTCAGTGAAGGTCTGGCGGCAGCTGCCCTCTGTGATTGCTCGGCTGCCTCGGTATGTTTGGACAGCTGAGCGAGAGGTGGCCGGCGTTCTGTCAGATCTGAACGCTCACGGGAAGAGGAATATTTCAGGAGGTGCAGCAGTGTGGAGGAGATCAGACCTTTCACTGGTTTCATTTGTATAAGGAACTAAATTCGATCCATCATGGCCGTTTACAGCTGTTTCGAGGCCCTTGGGCCCCCAGATGTTTTTACTTTTGTTCAATTTATGACATAATATTAGGGGTGTTAACATTTACAGATGCGAGCAAGGAAAACGGTTTTAACGTTAGCGATGCAACTACATCGGTACACCAACTGTTGGATGGATCTAAATGTATGATGAACTGGTCCAGTCTGCAGTGTGGCTCTTTTGCGACACTCTTTGAGGGACCTGTTCTTTGAACCAGCTCTGACTCGGACGAAATGTTGAGTAAAGATCTGGATGGATGTGAGGGAGAATACCTGCTCTCAGGTATGAGGTTCTCCACAGCGGTGTGAGTCTGGTTGGTGGTCAGGATGGAAACTTGCTCGCCGTCAGGTCCTTTAGCAGTGGAGATAACTTCATACTCTGAGAAGAGGACAACAAAGTCAAGTCCGGAACCACAGAATCACCTCAAAACTCAAAAAATTCTTGTATGCGTCCCAGTTATATCTTTCTGTGTCATACCGGTGGTGTCATTGTCAGTTTTCTCCCAGTCCAGGATGATAAAGGATGGGCATCCCTCCACCGTCACTACCGTGAGGTTGGAGGGCGGAGACTTGGGCGGACCCGTCACATTTGCCTCGCCGGGTTCATCTTCAGGGAAGTAGTTGAGGGAGGAGGTGATGGAGCAAGGCTCGTCCGGTTTCTTCCCCGTTTGGTAGACGACGTGAGGCGCTGTGGGAGCAGGAGAGAGACTGATTAGTCTGGGTTCAGGGTTCAGTGCCCCGTATACAGTTTTCAGATCGATTTGTTTCCACTTACCCACGTAACGTTTCTTGCCCAAAGCGTCGACGTCAGAGGTTGGCTGGGATTTAAACAGCTCTGAGTCCTCCCAGGTTTCCTGTCGACTGGCTGAAGAAAGAAACATGAACAGACACAATTTTACAAGGGTGTTTTTAGTGCAAGATGCCGAAGAATCCCATTCAACCATGAAAATTTTAGCATATGAAGGTTTTTTTATCTATAGCTGTGCCTTTAATTTGCAAGAAGAATTCCCCAAATTGATTTCCAATAGTTGCAACAATCCATCCTACTGGTGGCTTTGTCAATGTATGACAAAAGGTTTATAAATGCTGAACAAAAAACGGCCTTGTTGGGTAAACTACAGTTTACTCAACTACAATTAGGTTGTAGTTGGTTTAGGTTGAGGGAGATTTTGTCCTTCACCTTGTTAGTCGGTATGCTAACGTAACAAAGTGGAAATCTTCCTACTGGCTGTTGTTGGCATAGCAGTCGTGGTCTGTTTGCGTTCCTGTTTGGTCGGTTTGGCGGTTGCTGCTGGGACTTTCGGTTTCAGGATCGGCAACTTGTCCGTCAGCTTAAAGTTGTTCACTTTGTCTGATCCAAAAGATAATCATTAATATCTTCAAGAAAAAACACAACTGTGAAATGTCCATCCAAGCCCTTTGTTAGTTCTTACCCGTTTCTCCGGGTTTCCCCACCAAGTTTGGTTTCTTGTTGATCGGTATGATTGGGCGAGCAGGGGATCCTGGAACAAACAATAGATATCAAACATTATCTATATTGATCATAAAATAAGTCTTTTATCTTCTACCACCAGCAGTTTTCCCAACCTTCCAATAACAGGAGGACTCAAAGATGCTTTTACTCTTGCAAAGGTATATTTAATGGAAAACAGTGGAACACTCCTTAGTGGTATGTTAGACAACAGAAATGTCTCAGGTTTCGCCCATGGACAGTTTCTGTCTAAATAAGGCGAAGCTTTAAAAGTGACTTTGGCTCTATTTTCTAGCTAGGTGCGCTCTAATCTCCTGGAAAATCAGCTTTTTTTTCCCAGAGTAGAACTCGATACTCGTTTCCAAATGCCAAATGAACCTGAAAACATGAACAATCCCGTGTAATTCCTGTGTGTTTTTCTAAAATCCAACATAGACCCAAGTCCAGAACCTGCAGCCAATTACACCCCCCTTCCTTCTCTCATTTAGGGAGAAGCCAAAATTCTTCACAATCAAGGAATTGACCCTGTTCCAAAACTAAATGGAATAAATGCAAAGCCAGAAACATGAAAGATGATGGAGTCCTGAAACTTTTTAGCTCTTAACATGAAACAATACAGACGCATTCCTTTCAATCAGTGACATGTAAATATGTATGAAGCCAGAAAGGACGCCAGACTGCCTGTAGAGCTGCTCTTTGGTGAATATTTGCTGTTCTTCTTGAAATTATTTGGGCTTCAAAGAACTCTTTTGCTTTCGTGGGTAAAGCTTCTATTATTCTTAAACAGTCGGCCATAAATTAAGAGTTCCCTGTCAACAAAACATGGAACCATTAGATGTACAAGATTTAGAAAATTATTCAAAGAAGTGCTTTATATACTGGGGGTCATAGTGGAAACTGCTGTAATTATAGTTCAGTGATGCCTTGTGATTACAGTGCAAGGCTAAATGAAATAAATATTGGTATGATTTTCTCTTTTCACACACAAACAATCCTGCAATAAAAAGCAAACAGCGGTTTCCATTCTGATGAAAACTGCTCGATGCACGCCATGCCGCCCTGGTTGCGTGAGGGATTTCTAAACACAGCATCTCGGCAGCAACATATCTGAAGCTCATCGCACTCGCAATGCTTGCAATCAAGCAAGAAGCAAAAGCACATGGAACCTGGACAAGAGCATTTAAAAAGGATAACTCAAAAGGTCTATTCCAGATGCCAGGTTCGTCACAGGGTAATTAGAAACTATTTCTTCTTTTAATTTCTGCGGCAAGAAAAAGCGCAAAGCTCTGCAAATGAGGTTCTTAAAAAGTAAGCTAATGATCAGAGGAGCACATACTTTCCGAAAAGGGAAAGTATTTTCCCAAAGGCTCCGCCGAAGCTTCTGGCCAAAGCTTTCAAGCTGACGGATGGTATTTCTCGACTCTGGACACTTAACACGACCAAACCATGCAGTCTTGGCGGCGTAGAGCAACTGAAGCGCCAGTCAGCAGACGGCATGGGCAAGTTCTGGGTGCAGACAAACTCATGCCTTTACCAACCATAAAACCGCTCTTCAACTGTGGGACTTGAACGGCCAAACACTTCAGGGAACTCAGACTTCTTGTCCTCCAGCAAGGAGTTGTTCACTGCAGCAGGAGAGGCGCTGCAATTAAAACTGGGGTCTGTCTTTAACATTTTCTACCATACCTTTTGGTTTATCTTATTATTCAGACAAAAAGTCTCATCGAGCGTTCCACTGTTTCGCATTTTTAACACAAAGTATGGGAAGTTCCTGTCAAAATGTTCTTGATCACCCTTATACAGATGGTCACATAAAACACAAAAGACAACAGACCAATGGAAGACACCAAAAACCAGCTCATGCCCACTGAACAGGACGACCATGCACACCATAACATGCACAGTGAATCTCCTGACCCAATTTCTACCTGGTATTAACATGTTTTTAATTGTGATCAGAATGCGGTTTGTTCAGGCCAGATCTGAACCAGGGACAGGACTACAAATTAGCCATGGCTAGACAAGTTGAATACTTTCCAACTGTAGGGTTTGCATTTGTGGTCAAATATTGAGCTTCGATCACAATGTGGGTAGGATGGCAAAATCAAGACATCTTATTAATACCAGGTGTAAGTGCGAGCCGCCATTTATGTCTGACATTATGTTAATTTTAATATTCAATATTATATATTACTATTCTGTAAATACATGCATAATTACATAACAATTTCTTAATCTAAACACAATTTAACTTTGAAGAACTGTGCATGAAATGACATTTAAGAAGAAAGAACGTAAGAAACACCAAAAACAAATGCTGCAAAGAACAAATACAAAAAGTTGGTTTGTTTCCCAGATTTTAGGATTCTACAGTGAACAATATTAACTCGATGTCCAAACACTAGCTTTTTCAGAGGCTTTCAGCTGCATCTTACTGTCTTCCTCAGTAGATGGAGCTAGGAAACAATCACAAAAAAGCTAACGAGTTAATTTTCTATTTTTGTCAAACGACTGTCTCTAAGGTATCCAAAAATAAAACTTCCTTTTATATTTTTGTGTAATAAGCAGCAATCTTTACATGGTTATAAGACCATTACAGTCGAGCATCCAAAGAGTCTCGAAAGGTCTCAGTGAAGGAACAACCCGAAACCCTGACCACAACCACAAACCCAGACGTTTAAACACCCCCCACCACGAGCACATGGAGCATGGAGCAGTGACACAATCTGCTGCTGTTACTGGACTTATGTAACCAACTCAAATAATCAAGCTCCAACTCCAACATCCACTTGATTATTTGAAGAAGTCCTTGCCAGAAGCTTTGTTGAAAACCTGCAGAAGCTCAAAACACATCGGACAGAAGGCAACACGGACGGACAGACCAATGGATGGATGGATGGATGGATGGATGAACATTAAAGTATTAATAAACAAAATGGATGGAGACAAAAACACCCAAATGAGCTGCAGTGGGAATGAAGAGGCTGCAAAAGCGACTGAAGGGTTAATGATAAAACACAAAATGATGAACAAGGTCTTTTTTTACCCAGTCGAGGTCTGGACCATATGGCTGGTCTAGGTGGGGAAATGCCCCGGTGCGGCTGTCCATTTACTGTTGGGAGAAAACCAAGTGTTACGGCGGGAAAGCAACTGAACCCGACACGAGAACAACCATTCAAGTCGGTCAGTTTGGTGTCAGCATAATGAGATTGGATGAATCACAAGTCAAGCAACATGAGGATTTTGTTGTAGCACCTCAGCATCTTTTCCATTTCAAAACATTAACAGGTTGGGCAAACGTTTTGTAAGTGCAAAATGTTATTTTAGTAAACAGTTATAGCTCCCCCAAAATCCCCAAATGTCTTCCTAAATCCCCCAAATGTTTTCCTCACATCTGATTTTCAGAAATTTGGTAAACTTCAGTTTTGAAACATTTAACAGTAAGCTGGCATTCATTTTGTTTAACTTGTCACTGACGTTTGTGATAATTTTTGCGGTTAAAAGGAGTGAAATTAGTTTTCAGTTTGCTTCCAAAACATGAGATATTATATCTTCCAGATTTTTCTCCAGTATTTTGGTAAATTACATTTTCATACTCAAATTGTGTGATCGCATAAATAAACCTTTCAAACTTTAACTGGACTCATTTGGTTGTTTACGTGTGACGTTCATTTAGCAAACAAAACGCATCAACAGTCAAACTGTGAAAGCGCTGAAAACAAGGTGAGACTTTGTGAAACTTGAACCACGCTGTAGAGACCTGTTGGGAATTTCCTTTCTTTTTCCTTGAAAATCAAAAGAATATTGAATACATCAAATACAGAACCAGGATATCAACACCAAACCAATCCAAAACCCCAAAGTGAGCAGCTTCACTGGAGCACCAGTACCAGTGACCAACCAATGTTCATTCTATGGCTCCAAGAGCTGAAACCACCACTGCTAATGTAATACCTGTGTTCTGCGAAGCCTGGAAAGTGTTGGGAGGAAAGGGTTTGATTAATTGTTCCTTCATATTACTAATTTATATACTCAGAAGCCTCGAACGGCTAAAGTCCTTTAACAAAGGACGTCAAATATGAGAAAACACACAAATTAGTAATATGAGGCCACAAATGACTAGTTCATCAAACATTTTCCTTCTAACACTTTCAGGCTTTGTAGGTTACACAGAGGACAGGAATCATCAGGGGGAAGTCTCAGAAACAATAATGTCAGTAAAGAGGAGTGAAGAAACAGGAGGATTACCCCCAAGTATCCCGGAGGTTGGGGATGAGTTACTGGGTCTAGAGGAAGAGTGGGGCTGTCTTAGGCCATTAGAGAAGGGAAAGAGGGGGTTTCTCGATGCAGGCCTCATGGATCTGACAACCGTGGTAGCTGCCGGGTTGTAAGGCTGCAAAGGCAGTGTCGGAGAGAGAATTCTTTTGCTGCCTTGACCTAAAAGATCAAAAACAGTTGCAGGGCCTGTGTTACAATCTGATCTTGTTTTTGTCTAAGTTGCCAGTGAAGCGAGCTTGCAGCAGCCCTGAGCGGTGATGTTAGTGATGGAAGTTTTTACTCTTAATGGACCATTAAATTCAACGTGATTCTATTAACAAAGTTTGATGGGATCATGATAAGTCTTTAAGCGCTCACAATCTCAGGAAACCACAGTCATTTAAGCTGCTGATGAGTTTTGATGACGCAACCATGACTGTAAGATTGTGTGCCACATGCAGACATTGGAGGCCATGTTGCATGAAATGTGTTTTAATTCCCGGAGCGAGCAGCCAATCCTGTGGACAAAAACTTCATTGCACATTTATCTGGAAGCTGACTGGAAGCTCGAGGGAACAAGATGGTTGCAGAGACAGACAGAAAGAGCAAGACTGCCTTTGAATGCAAGACACAGGAAGCATTTTTATGAGGTCATTGTTACCCCAGTTGTTATTTTTGGCTCTCTCATTGGCCAGAGCTGTGCTCAGCAGCGATGATCCATCCTGTGATTTGCCGAAAGCTGTGTGGGAAAGAGAAGGTTAAACGCTAAGAAGACATAACATGTTTTGGTTTAAGAGATGGTCCACAACCTGCTGAATTAAAATTTAAATGAGAATTAAGAATTAGTCATGAAAAACAGCACCATAAAAAAAGTTAGTCTAGAAACTTCAACTGTTTGCAGATGACACTCGTATTTTCATGAAGGTCCTGCAGGGAGTCCAGTAAAGTCACAAAGATATGTCTCACTAACAAGTAGGTTTTCTAACCACTCATTATTTCACTTGATACCAAGGTACAAAAAGAAGGTATGATGATAAATTGAGGGTGAAGTGTCAAACATTTAAGTTTTCCAAAGGAGAGTTTGACATTTTTGAAATCATGATTATTTCATTTCCAAACTGAGAGCAGCACAGCCTTTAAAATGTCAACTGTTTGCAGGTGACACTCTTATTTTTGTTTAGATGGTACGGAGAGAATCTCAGAGGGGGTTGCTTTTTCTTGTGATTTAATTGTCTTTCAGATACAAAACTGAATTGTAGTAACTGCTGAAGTTTGGCTGTGATTTCATATGTCAGTCACTTAGCCTGTTAAAAGCAGGAAAGAGAGATAATTATTTAAAGTTCTGACCACAAAATAAATTTGATAAAACAAAAAAAACCCACCATCACTTCACTATTTAAGGAAAAACAAGCCATGGAAGTTGGAATGGACATTACCAAATTCAAATGTATGTATTTTGATAGGTTAAATTTTTTAGCTCCAAAATTTTAAACAGCAGTCAATTGACAGCTAAGTCTGTAATTCCTTTCATGGAGGTCCTAAACTTAAAAACAAAAAAAAGATTTGTACGAACTGAAGGTTCGGCTTTCTGAGAGCCACATTTTGGTAGTTTCTAAATATACAGCAGGTAATTGACAGCAGCTTGGCCTTTAAAGGATAATTGTTTGCAGACGACACCCTTACTTTCATGGAGGTCGTAAAGAGAGGCTTTTAGAGATACAGTAGCATTCCTTTAAATATCAAGGGGCTTATTTTTATTATAATCTTTCTCAGCAGGTTCTTTACAGCAAAACAGCTATTCTGTAACCACAAATGGATTCAGCTTTTTTCCAGAACGTGGCGATTATTTCACAAACATTTAAATTAAAAAAGGGTAGGTTGGTAGGTGGAAATTACCAGCAGGGTTATGAGGCTTCTCGGGTGCATTAGTGGGCGCCTTAGTAGTCTGCCCCTGACGCAAGTCGCCATTGGAGGATAATTTAAGGAAGGGGGTGGTTGTGGCACTGGAGAGAGGGGCTTTGGTGTGCAGGAGTTGGGGGAGGGCAGGAGGACGATCCACTGGTCGGTTGGTGTCATTTCTAACAGAGTTTCCTTTGTCTGGGGTGAGAGAGGAGAGAGGTAACGTGATCATGGGAATCTTAGGTTTGAGTTTAGATTCAGTTCAGATTGATGTTGGACATTCTGTATCGTAAACTCAACAGACATGCATTTTGATTCATCTCATCATCTCCAACACTTATGGAGAAATGAAAGTCACCAGATACATGTCTCTGAAAGGTTGGAAGTCTTGTTAATTTTATTTCAAACAGGACTGGGTATCGACCAAAACTGACAAAGCCTGTTAATTTACATGTCTAATGTACAATAATCTGTAAATAATCATAAAATGAAAAGAAAATGTCCTTTGTTTACACAAAAAGAGTTAATTACATTTGCAATCTATGTATAATCTTATTTTATTTAATAGATTAAACTGTTAATAAATTTCTAAAATTATGTAAAATAGTGACATTAACAGTAAAAAGTATTAGCTGTGTAATTTTAATGGATTAGTTAGTTAAATGACAGATATCTTGTATAATTATGGAAGTTGAATAAATGCTGTTTATCAGTGTATAAGCATTGGTAAACTGTCCAAATACAGTTTTTATCAGTGAAAACAACAATAATTACTGTTATTTCAAAAATAATTACTTTTATTAGAGTTCACCTGTATTTGTAGCTCAATGCATTGTTTTTACAGTGTAAATATCTTTAATTAAATATTAAAACCCCTTTTTTTGTCAAATTAAAGCTAAAAACTGTATACTGTATACTGACATTTTTTTACAAGTGAATTATTATGTTACTGTATTTCTTTGGCGGTCCAGCTGCTGGAATATTACTGTTATTTTTACTTTTTTTGTAAATTTGTGATGTTTATTTAGTACTTTTTATATCCCTCCATCCTGATATTTTCTTCAGAAACTCTTATCGTCTCGGCACTAATAACGACACCCAGGCCTATTTTCACATGAGATTTTACAATTAGCAGACAGATGTCCAAAGGTTTAAGTTTTGGTCCCATAATCTTGCACCTTGTAGAAATACAGAAAAGTCCAGAAGATAATGTACTTGGAAAGAGAGACAGACAGAGGGGACAGCAGTTTTGGGGATTTTGCAGAACGACTTGTGTTGTCTTTCCCTGGTGGGAAAATCCAACAACGTCTGCGTCTGAACTGACCCACATGCAGTTCGTGTCATGCAGACTGATGGAACGTGGCAATGACTTCATAAAGCAGTGAGGACTGAAGACAGATGGACGGACAGACAGAAAGAGGAGTAGATAGATGGATGATAAATCCAATGCCTAGACCACTTTATTGATCTAAAATATCCAACCTAACAAGATATTTCATCCATTATTGAGTCCCAGAATATTTGATCAAACTCTTGAATTCTGCTTGTTTATTGATCATTGGCTTGTGTTGTTTGGATGAACGTTGGTTAAATCCATTGAACCTTTTTAAATTCTATTGGAGAACCCAAACTTTTAAGAAAATAGAGTAAACTTGTGAAATATTTAGTAAAAGCTGTACAAAACATCAGATTTATGATGAGAGTTTATAATTTTAGACGATAACACTAAAATAAATTCAGTACAGAATCCCTTGTAAACTTCATGGTAAAGATCTTGCTTTCAACCAGTATGTTGGGTGGCCTGATGGACAGATCATCGATGCCCTTCTAACAGTACACAAGCATTTATGACGGCAACATTTCTGAAATCTGTTAATCTGAATGGAATAAGCCATGATCAATAGATTCATAGGGAAACTAAATCTGCGCTGGCTTTCATGATGTTTTACATGATTTACAGTGTGGTCCGAATGTGTGTTTGGTGGACTGAAATGATCCCACAGTCCACTGGAAAGACTTAGCTTATAATCAACGTCTCTAACTGAGAGCTAACTGCCATCACACACTGCACAGGCCTAAAGTGAAGCTAGATTTATAGCATGTGACACAACATATGGCGTCTTAGATGATAGATTTTTTAGATGCAGCAATCAGCTGTAATTAGCTAGCTCACGATTAGCTCACCACCTCGCCACAATCAGATACTGTTTCCATGAATGGATTTTATGTTGGGTTCAATTTAATTTAAAACTTTACAGACTGGAAACAGCTCTGAGGAGAAATATTGAAGTTTAAGGAGAAAGGACAGATAATAGGACAGAACATTGTAGAGTGAAAGAGGAACTGACGGCTTCAGGTGCGCAAATGAAGCGTCACTGCAGTCACATGACCTTTAGCAGCATGACTTAAAAAAACAAAAAAACACTAGCCGGGGCTGCACTCAGGGTGGGCGGGGCAAAGTGAACTTACTCGTAGCACCTGACCTCCAGTGACATCACCTCCACGCCTTGTATCGACTTTCTAACCGGGCTCAAGGCATGCTAGCATGCAGCCAATCACAACAGCTGCACGTCCCAGACCCCGCCCCCTCCCAGGTGCACCAGCTGAAGCAGGTAAAGACAGGATAAAGCCATATGATTAAAACAAAGTGAAAGAGCGTCTTTTCTTTGTTACCGAGTGACACATGAGGCCATTTAGGCTCTGCGGAGCCGGGCGGAGGTAACGTTTCCTGCTGGCTCTCAGGCGGCGCTGTGGGAAATAATACGTTAGCTTTAGAGGAGATAAACATTAAAGTGCAGGAAAATAAATAATGGATCTGTTTGGACAGAGGTCAGGTTGGACCACAAATGGATTCCACCATTTTTAACAAAAAGACTAACGAACAGCGAGTGAGTGACCCGATGGTTATTATCTATTTTATTTACAGCGACGGGGGGTTAGCTAGTTATCTAGTGTTTAGCTAACATTAGCTAACTGAAGCTTAGACTATATATATATGTCTCTTTTATCTTCAATATGTGGTTGTCTTTTCAACATAGGTTAGCCTAGCATATAGCATATCTAAGTACAAGAAAGGAGGAAGATGACTGAGGCTTGCTCAACTGTGATTGGAGCACAGAGCAAAAGGGGGTGGGGCTTATGAAACCCAACAATAAAAGTCACAGGGAAACATTTGGACGGTCCAGTTTTTCTTTGCTGGGACGCGTTATCGATGATCAGTCACTCACTTTCAGTTCATTAGGAATGGAACTGCATTTTAAACTGATTGAAATCGAGTCAGTCAAACCCGACTGGGAAGGTTCGGAGGTGGAAATGTTTCTGCAGCCCTGAGCGGAGGAATAAACAGCGTTATTTTGTGTGTCGAGGAAAAGAAGAAGAAATAATCACCAAAAGAAGTGCGAGGAGCTCCGGGGAACGCCGGGTTTTTGAGCAGAGGAGAGAGTCGAGTCCTGTTGTGCAGAGCTGCGAACGAGTTGACAGTTTACAGTCATACATTCATATTCATGAGATATTAATATCATATAAAGACAGACTTAGTTTACAGCAGAAATGAGTGAAGGCGGTAAAAGTGCCATTTATTTTCCCACAGACAGAGTGGATGGACATCAGCAATACAGAAAGTCTGTATTTTCAACAGGTTCATCCTGATTTATGTAGACTGCTGGAGATTAAACTGCATTTTTTGACACTTGAAATGTACAAAATGAAACTACAGGAACCTTTGAGGACATTTCTGATTGATACAACAAGTCATTTATTGTGTAAAAAGAAGTTTTTCAGTTTTTAATGTATGACTGTTATGTGAATATCACAGATGTAACCGGCTAGCTAAAGATTACATCTGTGAACCTGAAACAGATATTTCTACTGAACAAAGGACTTCTTGTATTGATCAAAAATGTCCTAAAAGGCTCTAAAGGTTTCATTTTGTACGTTTTAAGTGTCAGAAAACAGAGTTTTTTGCATAAATGTGCTGTTGTAATGTGAATATATTCAAATTTTTGGACATTTTATGAGTGTTGACAAGCTTCTGGTGCTCGACTCAAGATTAGTTGGAAAAATCAAAAGGTTAATCGATGATAAAATGGTTAGCGGCAGCCCTGTAATTTCTCAACAAAAGCACATTTCATATTAGATGTGCTGTTGTGTGAAATATCTGTGCTCCTCCTAAACCAGCCTGAACATGCAGTGACGTCCATCAGAGCTTTTATTCTCTGTTTTTATTATCACCTCCTCTGGAAACAGACGGAGGTGGATTACACACTACTGACTGTGCACACCTGCACAGCCATTAAACAGATTCCTTAAATAATGTGAGGCAGAAAAAACGACCGAGCAGCAACAAACGCTGCCTGAACAAGTTAAAGAAATCACTGATCTTACCGGGACGAGGAGGGAAGAGCGAGTGTGGGCCGAGAGGTTTCTGAAAGACAAAACATATCAACTTCAGTACTAAAACAATCTCACAAACAAGATACAACTACAATTCCCAGAGGGCACTGCTTAAAACTCTGTTGCTGTTCAGCCAACAGAGTTAAAGCAGAAGTTTGTAGAAGATTCAAAGTAAAATAAAGTTAATATAATAACAAATACAGAAAAATGTAAGTATAAATAAGGATATTTATTTATTAAAAGCAAATAAAGACTAAAATAAAAGTACATTTATTTTCTTACTCAGTACTTTTGCATTTGAACTGGATTTACATTTAATTTGATCTTTTCAAAATGAGTTTTATATAGTTACATTTTTGTTAAAGCCAACCCAAAATCAATTTTATTTAACCACTGAAAATTATTATTTTAATTGAGTAAATAAATAATAAAGATTAACCCTTAATTCACGTAAATGCGGAATAAAATTTCAATTTAATTAAATGGTTTCATCTTAACATTGGCAGCCACAGGCTTCCATAGAATAAACTGCTCATTTAAAGGTGATGAATTCGCTCTGAAACAGGAAGTGTGCACAGACTCAAACAGGACCTCGACCTCTGACCAGAACAAACACCGTCTGTCTGCTGGGAGGTCGACGTCATGCTACATACACAGTTCATGTTACATACATGTGCAGAGGAACACGTGGAGGGGCCCGCAGGAAGCTAAACTTGAGAGTCATGGCTCTGAGGTCGTTTTATTCTAAAAGGTACAACGATGTTCCTGAAATATTTTATATAATTTCAGGAAAAAAGTTGCAACGTTTTGAGATTAAAGTAAAAATTTCTGAAATTAATAAAGTGATAAAATCACCGTTGTACCAGATGATGATTTTATTCATACATACCAGCGGCTTTGCGAGAGGATTGCGCAGCTTGTACGGCTTCTGTGTGTTCTTATCTGCGAAATACGTGAAAACATAGATAAACTCACACATACATATACAAATATAAATATACGTGTGTGTAAAGACTGTTTTATATGTTGGCATCAGCTCCAGGAAACAGCTGTAAAACATGTTTAACCGAATAACTGAACTGTTTTATAACCCCAAGATGCATTCCAGTATCTCTGACGGGATTTGGGTCATGAATTAATAATGAATTTAATTAAATAATTGATTGTTCCTTACTGCCCATGTTGGTGTTGTGGATGACCGCTTTACTCCACATGCCACTGCGGTCGTCCTTGTTGGACCGGACGCCGAACTCGTAGGGCGTGTTGGGTTTGAGGTTGTCGATGACAGTGTCGCTGGTCGGGCAGGTCTGATAGATCCACTTCCTGTTCCTCTCTCTGTAGCGGATGGTGTAGAACCTGAAGGCAAGCGGGAGGGGACGCGGGAAAGTCAGAGTTATAGTAAGTCGGTTGGACCTCCAGTCCCACGGAGCCGCTGCTTACGGACACAGTAACAGACTTTTTGGCCACTTCGGGGCAGCAGAACAAACTGAACATATCATTATCTTTTGAAGCAGTTGTGGCTAACATGTTAACAAACATCCATCAGACACAGAGCAACAGGATCATCCCATTAACAGAGCCGATTATTACTTGTGGGGTTCCTCAGGGTAGTAGTCTTGGTCCTCTATAGTTTTAGTTTGAATTCCAGTCTACAGTCATGCTAGCAGCTCTGTGATGCTAACATCAGCAGGTACTTGAACCTGCAGCCCTCCAGTTCCCAAGCAAAGTCCCAAAATTCACCTTTAGGCCTTTTCCACCAACAGGTAACCGGCTCAGTTAATGTTTGAGCACTTAATTTTGAACCGTTCGGAGCGCTTCAACCAAAAATAAATCGGTTCGGGACCTGAAACCAAAGTGAGCGTGTCATATTCTGCAGGCCGTTGTGCAGCGCCCTCTGTTGACAGCAAGGTTCATGAACCCTAACTACTTTGGTTGAAAAGGTGGAACCAAACCATCCAGTAGTTGTTGAGAGGTTTCAGTTTGGACCATAGTGGTGGACTGATCATTTCCATTAATAAAGTCTTGCTGCTAGTTTAAAAATATCGAACGTATTCTGGGGTCATAAGACCTCCGAGGAATCTAAATGGCCCCAAACTGAACACTCTTCTGGAGCTCAAAATAAATTCATCAAAGTTTCCTCGAACATGGAAGGCGACAGAAAACGCTGAAGTGAGGTTTGTTGACTTTTGCCTATGACTGGAGTTCGGCTAACGCCAAGGCTAGCAAGGCGCTGGAGAACAACAAACAAATGACATACTGTACACAAGGCAGCACCAAGTCTTCAGCCCGTGTGGTTTCTCTCTTTACCGCTGTGACCTCAGTGCTGAAACAGCTTCTCCCATTAGGTGTTGTTAATTCTGGCGGGTAGATCTCCTCTTTCACTCCCTCATGTCGTGTTTTTCAGAGAATACATTCTCCAAAGAATCCCAAGTCGCAGCCAAACGCTCCACAGAAGGATCTGACATTAGCTTTTAATAAGACGCCCAGAGTGGCGGAGGACGCTTGGGTCAAGCTTTCCGATGGCTTCTCCAACTCGTTTGACAGGGAAGGAATAAAATGGATTGTTGGAGCGAGAGAAAGCGAGAGCTGATGGAAAAGAAGGCCGGGGCGTCCCGGTCGGTGTAATATCACTCAACACACACAGATTGAAGCACAACAGCAGCTTTTCAGAAGTCCAACCATTCGTCATCATGTGATTCGTCACTAAAATGTCAAACTTTGGAGAAAGTGGTCGTAAATACACATGAAAGGAGGTCAAACCCTTTCACACCCTGTCGTAACCAGGTGATCCTGCCGGGTTCATCAGTAACGTCTGAAAGCATCAGGATGTCGTACAAAGTGTCAGTGCAAATTATGGAATTACATGTTCTCGTAAATATGACGCACAATTTGCGATCATTTCTTGTACATCTTGTACAATCTTACAGATTATTTATGACACATTTTACTTTAAGCAGTCACATCGTTACGAGATCGCTCACCCGTCCTCCAGACACTCGTTCATGATGTTCCCTTCGTAAGGCGTCTTCAGGGAGTTTCCCCAGGACAGCAGCACCGCCGTCGGGCTGACGGAACCGATCACCAGGTGGAGCGGCTTCTCCAGGTTCACCTTCCCTGTGAGCACAGGTGAGGACAGAGTGAGACATCCTGTCGGTGCGCACGGCAACGTAAAGCAAACAGGACACACCTGTGCAGTGTTTCTTCACGTCGTTGACTGGGATAGGCTGGACGGCCACCAGGTACTTCGGCTCCGCGTCTGAAACAAAATGTGGATTCAGGTTTCGGAGATTAGATCAGGTTTTAGTTTCGGCGTCTCAGACACAGGAAGTCATTGTTCAGGTATTTTTCAGGTATTCTTAATGGAGTTCCCTGAAAGACGACTGTTAGCTAGCATTTTACTAAGAACAGCTTTCAGATGTAACTTTTTAGCTAGCAATTAACATATATTAGCTAGCTAGTTACATCTGGAAGCTAATGTTAGCAAAATTATCTAAAAATCAAAAATGTGCTGTAGATCGAAACATGCTAACTAATTTGTTAATTTACATCAATTGTTCTTTAGCTAGCGTTTGCTAACAATAGCCTTCTAATGTGTGTTTAAGTGATTCGGTTTATTTCTCTGTAAATTTCTCTTCTCGTCCTTCCACTCTTGAAATGTTTCTGCCATAATTTGAGTCGTCTGTTTTCCATCGAATATGTAAAACACGTCTTTGTAGAATACTTTCTGTCTACAACCTGCCACCGTACAGCGAGTACGGCGAGCTCTCCACCGCTGCAGCTCCTGTGGGAGGCAGAAACATGTGAGGAATGTGTTGTGGAAATGTGCGGCCATGATGATGAAGTCATTGTGGGCATTAAAACGACCCCCCAGAGCAGACAGACAGATGTTAATGATTACAGACAGACAAAGAGAGAGAGAGAGAGAGAGAGAGACATGTTGAAACAATAATCAAAGTGAGTTGAGTTTCTTTTAGTTTCTTTCAGCTTTTAAAGCTGCAAACAGGTGAAATATTCAGTTTATAAGCAGGAAGATGAACTCCAATAAAGTCTGTTTGCATGTAAAGTAAAGTGGGAACTGTTGGGGTGGAGGCGAGGCACCCAGCAGCATTCTGGGTAAAGTGGGCGGGTGTTAACCGGATTAACGGTGAAGCTGGAAGGACTGGCAGGTTATTGGCCGAAAGCTCATTGTTTGTTCTGGAAGTTTTAATCTTAAAGTTGTGTTTTTGTTTCCTTTATTCAGAAAATAAACTAAATGTTATTTTCAGATGTGTTACAGACACTGATTACTGTACAGAAGCACAACTTTTAGTTAGCTAACGTTTCACTCTGTAGCTAGGTAACTAGCTAGCTGATCTACACCAATCGTTAGCTAAATCGTTAAAGCATTCGTAAATTAACAAATGAGTCAGTTAGCATTTCACTGTGTAGCAAGTAAGTGCTCTATGCAAAACTTTAAATAGTAGTTAGCTAATTTACATCAATCGTTAGCTCAACTTTATTAATGTATTCAGTGATTTTGGTGAAACTAAATCAGATTTTAGAGAGAAATTTGTTTTTTTGGTATATTTCTAATGGCTAAAGTAGCTAACTGCTAATGAACTGCTGCTAACTGTATCAACTTGAACACTATTAATCTTTTTCACTCCACAAACAGGAAACAGAAGGACTCCTCACCTTTATACCTCAACAGGTACCACCCACGCTGCATGAATCACACCAATCTGCCTTTATCAGTTTATATCGAGACAATGCTGCTTTATTTAATGTGCTAATCTTTTGGCAATGTCCAAATCCTGAACATGACCTCATCCCATACCAGACTTCATTCTAAATTATAGGACTTTAAGACAAACCTCTGCACTGTCAAAGTCCTCTGGCTGTTTTCCCTAAAAACAAACTCTGCGTCTCTTTGTGGATGTGAGCGCTTCCATTCGTCTCCTGCTGACAGGTGGAAACATGCCCCTCCTCCGCCTCCTGACCTCATCAATCACCTGTAATCACCTGAGAGTCTGAGGTCATTCTCTTTCCTTTTTTTGTCTTGCTGGAACATTTATCAGCTGCGGTTGTCATGGAGGTCAGGAGGGTTAAACTCAGCTGACAGGGTTTTTATTTCAGTGTTTGCTTTTGTTGGAGTTCAGGATCGTCACAGTTCCAGTTTACGGAGGCTTCACAGAGTTCCCTTCACTGGGATTTACATGTTTGAATTTTACCCCAGACAGTGAACACCCAAAAACAACAACCCCAAACATTTACAGGTTATATTCTGAGAATATACATTTATTTTTCTTGTTTTTCTTTAAATCTTATTAAGATTTCTCACATTAGCTGATTAGCAGATTAACACCAATACACTTCTACTGGATCCTTTGGGTTTTCCATCATTTTTTTGCCGTCACTTTCGTTACTTTTCTTTAGATCTGATCAGAAATGTGTCTGAACACTTTTATGGCCTGAAAACAAACAAGAGGAAACAGTGAATTATTGAGTCTCTCTGTTTGTGTCTCATGTGGCTGAATAAACCAAAAGCCACGAGCGGCGTCGGATTTAAAGAGTCAACACTGTGGTCGTGGATCCTCCCTGAGCTGCTGATGGATGGTTCTCCGCTGAGGGCTTTTAAACAGGAAGGTAAACACCACATGAAGCCTTTAAGAGCAGCTCTGACACCACAGCCCCGCCCACCACACACTTTGATTGACAGGCGACCTTGGGGCAGAAAGAGCAGCGACGAGAGACGAGCAACAAAAACGGAGACAGAGATTAAATTAAAAGACTCCCAGTGGAGCTTAATCTTCTGGGTTTAATTAACCCACAAAGCGAACCGGGATGTCTGATTTCCCCAGCTGCACGTGAACACAGCACGTCACATTGTGCCAAAAAGAAAAAGAAAATGATTGAAAACCCACATTTGAATGATTAAAAGAACATATTCAGGAGATGTTCCAACAAACCTTTTTTTTTAACCAACTGTTTAATTTCATCATGAAATAACCTGTAAATGTTTGAGTTGTCGATTTATCCACCAAACTTAATTCAACATAATCAAATATCATCACAAACTTATGAAGCTCTCACATTTCAGACAGCCTTCTAGAAAAACTTGTGACCTTCCACAGAGTTAATGTCTGTCCACACACGAGGGCAGAAAGTCAAACTTTAACTAAATTAAAAAGACCACCACCACCAAACTCCAGTCAAAGTGTGACGTTTTTAAGCGCAATGCTAAGGTCTGTGCAGCCTCTCACTGTGGAGGAAATGTGTTGCAATAGGAGGGAGTCGTCCTCTAGAGAACACGGTGCTGAAGGACGACTTTCAGCAGGTTTTCTGTTTTTCTGTTAACCCTTCCCGATGATATGCTCCCTTAAACACATCACACCGTCAGAACTTTTAGAGTGTTTTTTTGCCGTGATGGGATATAACTGCTGGCCGAGCTTCAGAACCAGGATCAGAGCCACCTGCTGCTGCTGCCAGACTCTCAAAGCTTCTCACGTTCCGGTTTTCCCCCTGAAGCATTTCTGCAGAAACTCTGCGTTTCCCACGAGTCTGACGGTTTAGACACGGAGGTTTAGTGCTCGCATACACAGACAGAAATTTAACCTTCAGGCCCAGAACAAGAGAGAAACCCCCCGTCTTACTGTCACATAGCTCATTAGTTCCAGCAAGGAACTGCTGTGGATGTTTATGAATCAGTCTGTCATCGCTTTAAAGACGCGAACAGGAAACTGAGTGACTGAGAGAGAAAAACCTTCAGTCTTATAAACAGGTAGCGACCTTCCAACCAAACTCCATTCAAATCTTGGGGTGTTTTAACATCCTATCTTTCCGACATACAGTAGAGTTAAAGTGCCTACATCAGATTGATGCTGGATAAAGTTTTAGAGAGTTTTCACTTTTTTTCTTGAGATGTACGGAAGCCCAAAGAGGACAAAAGTAAAGATTGAAAAATGTAAATGCTTCTTTAAACATGAAAATTAGTCAAATGTGCACCTTTTATAAAAAAAACCTAGTTATCTTACTCTTGTGATCAATAACATTGATAACAGATTAATTCTGTAAATATATTTAACAAATTTAGCAACTTCTGATCAACCCATATCAATTTCAGTCTTAAATTAACGTATACGTGGCCACGCCTACTTCCAGTGTAAGCCCCGCCCATTCAGAATACTAATACAGATAATTAATTTGTTTGAACAGATCAAATGTTGTTTTCACTCATCCATACAAATATAATAAACTAACATTTTTATTATCAATAATGATGATTAGCTCTGTTATGGCTTCCGTAGAACTTCTTACCCATCTCGGTCTCGTACGGTTGTCCGTTCTCGGGCAGTTGGATGAACTGTTTGGAGAACATGCTGCTGCCGTAGCCCAGAATGTAACCCTCCAGCTTCACGTCGGGACTCGGACGCACGAACTTCATCACGATGGTGTCGCCGGTGGCGTTGATCCGAACCTTCATGTTCTGACGACGCACTGCAGAAGAAGACGAAGTTGGTGATGAGACATTAGGAATTATTAAATAGTCAAAATTATGAAAAGGTTACACTTTTACAGTCAAAACTGTTATAAAGAGTCAGAATGTTAAAATTTTAAATAAAAAATGTAATAATAATTATAGATGTACATTTTAAAGCACAATGAAGTCCAACACCATCAAAATATATTTGATATTTGGTCAGAATTATGAGATACTTTTTTAAAATTTACCCTTTTGGAGTTAAAATTTCAAAAATTATAATTCATTTATTTTAAAATGAATGAAAACAATAACATTTTTGGAATTATTATTATTATTATTATTGTTATGTATTTTCAGGCATGAAAGTTCTTCCGTAACTCTCACACACAATTTAAATTATTTAGTTTGAAAAGTTCTGTTTAGGTTTCCTGTAACTTTACAGCGAAAATCCCCCTGCAGTTCAGTAGTGACGTTCACGAGGTTGTTTCCTTTTCAAACAATCTGGAAACGATCTGAATCCTCCACATGTTGTTGTCTTTTCAGAGTTTTTCTTTCCTTCTGTTATTGCTACCGCGCTGCCAGTGAGCTCCGAGCGAATCACCGCTCCGCCGCCAAATAGTTCTGCTAATTAAGTCGCTCTGGTCACACGAGAACAAATTGCAGGTAATTAAAACAGTTTAACGAACGAGACCAATCAGCTGGAGGGGAAACAGAAACATTCCTCTTCCTGTCGGAGTCTCAATAACGTCTGTTTGTTTCGGCTCAAAGACGCTTTAAAGACCAACTGAAGACATAAAACATGATTCTCTGCTGTTAGCATGGCTGCTACATCATTCGAGGAAAACAACCCAAACAAGCAAGTTAGCACTGTTAGCAGTGAGGCTAGTTAGCTGCTCCCAACTGTACTTTGTGCTAATTAAGCTAATGCTAGCATGCTAACACATTAAAACTAAGATGGTGACCACAGGAAGCATTTCACTAAACACTGATGTCAGCACACTGATGTTAGCACACTGATGTTAGCACAAGTTTCCCTGTTTGACATCGAATGATTGAAGCTTCTCTATGTAACATTAAACCGTAGTTAACGGCGCCACCAGTGGCTGCTCAGTGAACTGCAGCCAGCGTAGCGAACACAGTCCGTGGGCGCCAGCGAGCATCATCCTGGGCGTCGGCATCAGTCCACAGGCAGCAGAGGAAGTCGCTACAACCTGTTCACTCACTGCTCAGTTCCAACCAAAGAGTTGATTATGAGTCTAAAATGTCGGTACACTCTGTTCTGTGGGAAGAACCACAGTTTGATTGGATTTCATGCTCTCGTCAGATGGATATCTCATTCAGAAACCAAACTCTCCACAGTATATGAGCTTTTATTGATTCCCTCGGAGCCTGTGGACCAACTGTTAATGAACATGTTTGGTGGATGGACCTGACCTCGGCCTCTCCGGGGTTCAAACCCGACGTCACGCTCCACTTTTAAAAGTTTAACAAGTACAGAATGTTTCGGTCCCACGTGGTTTTCTCAGGAACTATAAAGCTTTTTATTTTTCCAGCATTCGGAGGCTGGAAACCGCCACAGCCACGTCCTAGCTGCAGAACCTGCCTGACAATCGGCGTGTTTTTAACCTTCATCAGTGTCACATGGATCCAGTGATCGTTAACGGTACACGCATCAGTAACAGCAGCTGCTAACAGCTAATTCGGCAACTTTTAATGGAGACAATTTGACTAAATGATAACAAATATGAGCTAAAAATGTATTTCCCGTCATTAAAAAGTGTCGCAAACAAACCAAGCTGCATCACGTGGCTCCTGAGCTCTCGTTTCAACAGCTGAAAACATTTATTCTGGTTCACGGAGAGTGAAAAGCTGAAGGTCCAAACTCTGAATCTTCCTGTTCAAATGTCATCTGGGATTAATTCAGGCAAAAATAATCATTTAAAATTATAGCAAATCGTAAGCAAACTCCACTGAAACTTTGTCACGTTTTACTCACATAACTCGCTGCAACTATTCTGTGTGGTGAAATGTTCATTTGTCTCACAGTTTCATAGTAAACTGGAACTGTTTCGTGGCAGGCACATGTTTATGGAAATGAAGCGTTGGGCAGCAGATGAAGTAACATTGTTCTCCTGTTTAACTGTGTTTGTGTAACTGATTAAGTCTCTGCGCCGCCTCGGGCCGCCATACAGTGAAACAATCAGGAGTAATTAGGCCTCCTGCAGCCCACAGAGCCGATGGGTGGAGGTTTGTTCCTGCAGGTTGGTTGGGAAGAGCTGGACGTGTGCGATCATGCAGCTCACTGCTGGCAGCCTGTGGAAGGTTTTCTGCCAGCAGCTGAAAACTGAAAGACATCGACCCCCCCTCAGGAAAAAACTGCTGTTTAACATGAAGTCGCCCCCCCGGACAGCCTGGATAACGTCTCAGTCTCAGTCTGTTGTTTGAGGAGGACGACGGACAGGAAACACTTTCAACAAGAGTCTAACTCAAGTATCAGTAGAACTACAACCACTCAAACACATCGAAGTACTGACTGAAGCACTGAGTACACAGGAAACTCCAACCATAACCTACTGCACATTCATTGATTAAAGATCGATAATATTGGTTTAAGAACTGCAGCAGTCAGAGACCCTGGTTGTTTCTGTCTCATTAGGTGGAGCTGCGATGGAAACTCTTTCATGTGGAAACTAACGAGCTGCTGCTGGTTTTACTGGTTTCACTGGAGCTTTAATGGAGGGAAATCAGCACGAGGAAACTTGAACTGTTACTGAGTGAACGCCAACAATAAAATGTATTATTATTATTATTAAAGCAGAACAACGAGGGCGTTAGCGCCACCTATAGGTCAACCACAGTCCCTAGCCTGATGTAACGCACACAGAGTGAGTGACAGCTGGATGTGGGCGGGTCCTGTTGGAACCTGTTAGTGAACGAGTGTTGGTATTTTTAAAAAGGAGCCAAAAAAAAGAGAGCCTGAAATCTGGTTTTTATAACTTTCCCAGAATGCTCTTTTTCTTTTAATGACATTAATGAAATGTATGGTCACTCATAAACTTCCATATAAGGCAAAAAAAAAAGAAAGAACCAGAAACACATAAAAATCAGTGAAAGTTGCAGAAAGAGCAAAAACTAAACGTACAGGAGCTCCTGTCTCACTCTCTCTCTCTCTCTGTCTCTCTCACTCTGTTGTTTTTGGCTGTCTCTCGCCCGGTGAGGTAATCCCCTCTGAGCCACCACATCAGACCACCGAGTCGCTCTAAAGGAGGAGTTTTTATTCCTTTTTCATAATTTATAAAAGCTCAGTGAGACAGAAAAATCACAGGTGAGATCATGAATTACCCCCCCGCCCCCACCCCCCTTCATCTGCCTGCAGGACTCAATGCTGCACCAATAAACATCACGCCAAAACCCTAAAAACTGAAAACTAAATCCACGCTAGCATGCATCCAGAACACCGATAAATTAAATGCATTAAAAAAAAACTGCAGAAATAGTCTCATTTGATGAGTTTTCTGCTGATTCAGCGGTGAAGGCAGAAAGTGCTGACTCAGCAAACAAACACCTGCAAGCGAGAGCTGCAGCTCCTTACCGTACGGAAGCTTAAAAACGCCAAAAGTGTTTCACAGTTAAACTTTATGCTCGACACATTTTTACGTTTCTTCTTCTTAATGTCCCATTTTTGTTATATTTCACTTTTATTTAAACACGTTTTCTCTCAGATTGCATCACATTTACAGTTTCCTACCATCAACCTGCACATTGCATCCTACATTGTTCTTCCTCTTTGTGTCCAGTTCTTTACTCTGTAGATTGCTTATTTGTTCCTACACTGATAATCTTTTATTGATTGATTGATTGATTTATTGACTGTTAATCTCTCTGCTCATTATTGAACACTTGCCTCTGATCCTCTGAGCGGGGACGCCGTTGAGGAGAATTGTCCCTCCGAGCAGCAGGACGAGGACTCGTAGGAGAGTGACGCTCGCCATGACCTCAGAGCTTCAGCTTCCAGCAGACGAGGATGAGGAGGATGATGAAGAGGTTTGAGGAGGATGATGAAGAGGTTTGAGGAGGATGAGGAGCGACCAGGAGCTGGACAACTTCACTAAGTCTCTCTCTGCAGTCTTAGGACTTGTTCAGCCGTCGGACGTCCTCGGTGTGGAGAGGTGGACCCCTGAAACGCCGCCATCTATAGCCTGTGCAGGTGGGCGTGGCCTTGGCGACATCATCAACCCCCTTCCTCTCGTACTGTACCCTCCCTCCTCTCCCTCGCTGAAGCTCTCCTTTCTTCTCTCTGGACCTCAAACATGAACTTTTACTTTTTTCCTTTTACTCTCTCTGCTGGTTTTTTCATCACCTCCTCCTCCTCCACTCCTCCTCCTCCACTCCTCCCTCTCTTTAATGTGTTGTTTTTCAGTCAGTTTGGCTGTTCGACACTCAATAATTCAGACAGATGTTTGCCAGCAGTGCTGTGGAGGGAAAAGAAAGCAGCAAACCAATCAGAAAATGTATTTAATAGTGCTGTCAAATGATTAAAACATTTCATCGCGATTAATCGCATTAATGTCATAGTTAATCGCACATTTTTATCTATTCTAAATGTCCCTTGATTTCTTTTTGTCCCATTATTTTTTCTCATTTTAATGCTCTATGTTTATATATGAGTGTATATGAATGCTCTGCTTAATCAACATGGAAAAGTGGATCGGCTTGCTTTGTGCAAATGTTGTTTTTATTGAAAATAACATTTGCATATATTGTAGTGTTCAATTTCACACTAACATTCTCACTTGGAGCAAATAATCTCTCACACAATGTAACACTGTCCATCAATAAAAGGGTGAAACAAATACTTTGTCACACAAACAGCCCCTTCAACAGCCCTTTCTAAGGGATCAAAACAGGGCGATACAAAATAAAATTACAAAGTGCACATGTAAGGTAAACTAGGACTCAGCCTATAGTGCAGTTAAACCATGGCTTAATACTTTTCTCAAGTTTGCTTTGAACATAGCAGTCAGGCTACTGCTCTTTATTCACCAGAGGCTCAACCCAGCCTCTTATTTCAGAAAGAATGAACAGTAACGGTTACCAATAAAAGGAAAGCCTACTACTTCTTTGCTTTGAGCCAGTTACTCAAACAGCCAAGCCTGTTGACATTTTCAGACAACAAGGAATCCATCCATTTCGGCGTCTCGCGTTCGCCATCCACTCAAAACGCAACGTCTACTACTCTTAAACAAGTGTGTGTGGCGTGCCTATTGTTTTGTTTCCGGTCTAGCTAGATCCGGTGTGGTGTTGTAGTTTTTCTAACGTTACTAGTTGTTGCAACAGTATGTGAAAAAAACTACAAAGTGTGCTAGGCGTTAATCTCGCAATAAAAAAATGTACGCCGTTAAAATGGGTTTGCGTTAACGCCGTTAATAACGCGTTAAACTGACAGCACTAGTATTTAATAACATTATTATTATTATTATTACAGTATCAGTTACTAATCATCAATAATCAGTCAGAGAGTCAATAACAACACTGAGGGCAAATTCCTGCCTCTTGCAGTGGTTTAGTGTCTCTTTGGGGTTGTTTTGTGTCTCTTTGCGGTGGTCTAATGTCTCTTTGCGGTGGTTTAGTGTCTCTTTGTGGTTGTTTGGTGTCTCTTTGCGGTGGTCTAATGTCTCTTTGCGGTGGTTTAGTGTCTCTTTGTGGTTGTTTGGTGTCTCTTTGCGGTGGTCTAATGTCTCGCGGGGTTTAGTGTCTCTGTGGTTGTGGTGTCCTTGCAGTGGTTAGTGTCTCTTGGGGTTGTTGTGTCCTTGCGGTGGTCAATGTCTCTTGCGGTGGTTAGTGTCTCTTGTGGTTGTTTGGTGTCTCTTTGCGGTGGTCTAATGTCTCTTTGCGGTGGTTTAGTGTCTCTTTGTGGTTGTTTGGTGTCTCTTTGCGGTGGTCTAATGTCTCTTTGCGGTGGTTTAGTGTCTCTTTGTGGTTGTTTGGTGTCTCTTTGCAGTGGTTTAGTGTCTCTGTGTGGTTGTTTAGTGTCTCTTTGTGGTTGTTCAGTGTCTCTTTGTGGTTGTTTTGTGTCTCTGTGTGGTTGTTTAGTGTCTCTTTGTGGTAGTTTGTGTCTGTGGTTCGTGGGCCCAGCTGTGTATTTTTATTCCTTAATTAATTTAATAATAAAGGTTAGCGCTGCAGCTGGAGGTGCAGTGTGTTCAGGAGGAGAAGTGAACAGGAATGAGAGGAATTTAAATCCTCTGTGGATGTTTCACACAAAGAAACTCGACCACTGACTGTAGGAGCGTCTGTCAGCGGTGAACACGCAGCCATTACCCAGCAGCAGCAGTGCGTCGCTGCGTTTGGGTCACTCAGGTTTGTTCCACGTGCTCGCAGAGAAGCTCATGAAACCAGAGCGTCCTCGGTGGCCCGGCCGCTCCTGGACTGAAGCATGATGGGAAACACCACAGCAGCACACACACACTCAAACCCCACCCGCATCACAACACAAACGCCCGCTTCACACGTGCTGCTGGGAACAGCCGCAGAGCCAAAACCACTGACATGTTTTCTCCGTGTTGGAGACCGAGTTGGGGGATGATGATGAAGAGGAGGAGGAGGAGGGGGGCTGGCGGCGGGGGGCTGAAGGGAAAACCCGAACCCTGGCCCTGGACTTCGGTTGGTCCAACACGTGCTGCTACATGCGACAGGATGGAGGGAAGGCGCTGCCAAACAGCAGCTGATGCAGAGAGAGGAGGAACATTACACAACAGGACGAAGAGCAACGCTACAAATCAGCCGACAGGCGCTTGTCAGGTGTCAGCACTAGAGAGAGCAGTCTGAAACCGAAGACACGGATGGAGGCTGCAAGGTGTCAAAATACAGCTGCAACCATTTACTCCACCTGTCAGACGCGTTAACAACACCAACTTCAGGAGCGCCCCCAGTGGCCACCAGCAGTACTGCAGCCCACACAGTCCTCAATGAGCCTCTTACAAAGCTTTACATACTATAAAATACTATAAAGCTTATATACTACTATACTTTATATCAGCCACAGCCGAGCAAAGACACGCTGAACACCAACAACAGCGCCGCACGCTGTTGGCGTTCAGTGTGTCTTTGAGTCTCTTTGTTATTATGTTATAATGATGTCACTTTGTAGTTGTTTTATGTGTCTTTGTAGTTGTTTTATGTTTCTTTGTAGTTTTTTTTATGTCTTTTTGTAGTTGTTTTATGTTTCTTTGTAGCTTTGTAGCATCTGTTCGTAGTTAAAACTCGACAAACTAGTAAAATAAGGAGGTATATTTGCTAATGAGCAGAATACAGAAGTGTGACCGATGGGAATGTGAGCCCTGCAGTAGTGGACAGACTGGGACTGTATTTTTGGATATCCATGAATTCTCTACAACAACAAATACTGTCCTGCATGTTTTAACCTGTTTCCTGCTAAAGAGTTAAAACACGCACATGTTCCTCTGCTGATGTCTGTGTGGGGACGATGTGGATGTAAAGAGCTCAAACATGTTAACAGTGTCCACAAGCTGAAGTCCCTCAAACGCTGTCCATCACTCTGTCGTCTGGTTTCTTTGAACTTTAAAGAGTCTGACAGCTGCAAACAGCGAGCTCCAACACGCCGCTCGCCAAAGTCAGCACTCACACTTTACTCTTCTGTTCTTCTCCCTCCTTTCTTTCCTCTGCGTTCGTGCGGCGAGCAGCAGAGCGGCTCCACGCCTCGTCCCGTAAAACTTAAACACTACCACATCAAACGGTGGTGAGGCTCGACGGGCCCGGACTGATCGTCACAGCGCCGGTTCTCACAAACACGCTTGCAGCCCGAGGCTCACGGTGACCTCCACTAATCAGGCTAACGAGGCTAACGCTGCCAATTAGGCTAATGTATCGCTGTTATCCTACGGCCAATTAAAGGTCGACTCACAAACACAAATCTGACACCATTATCACTATTATTATTATTATTATTATTAATATTATTGTTATTAGGGTTATATCAACATAATCACTGTAATTATTGAGCAGCTCGGAAACAAACATTCACACATCCTTCAGCTAGAAACAAAGCATCTCTATTGGAGCGCCAACAGCTTGACCTTTACTGTCACTCTGCACCCAACACATCGGCCTTCACAATAAAACACAGGACTTCACAATAAAAGACTGTTTCCATGTTCCTAATTTTATTACATTTTATTTTTTCTTTCCTTTAAAAAAACAAACAAACTGCAGAAATTTAAAAGAGTAAATATCTGTTTCCTGTCTGAGTTAAACACGAAACAGTGAAAACATCTGATCTGTGTGAGCGATGAAGAGGACTGTAACCTTCCTCACACCCCAAACGTCTGATTTCCATCATGTTTTCCATCGTTTGACCTTTCAGTCATGTCTTATTTTCTGGAAACGGTTAAAATTTGCACTGGATTCGGATGAAAACCAGACATTTTGAGACATTTCTTACAGTGTACTCCGCCCTCAGCTGATAGGCCCAGCTGTTCCCGGGAACAGGGAGCTCTTAAACCAATCAAACATCTCTTCCTGCCAAAACGCCGGCGTTGATACAGCGTGCCAGAGCCCCCGCGCCACCTGCATCGCATCACGGTGATGAGCGCTGAAGCCAGCGGACAAAACCCAGCAACGCTTATATAACCTCCGTAACTGCGCCGGCTGCACAATGCCGCCTTTGTCTGCCCTCAGGCTGCGGCGCAGTGCGACCACGGGCACTGAAAACACTGACAACAGCACAGAAAGCTCAAAAAACACAACTTCTATTATAAATATACACAAGAACACATTATCTGATCCCCTAAATCCCCTTAATTTGTCCATTAAATCAGAACTAATTATGCATAATGAATGTAAGAGGGGCTTTTAAGGGATTTCTCATGATTTCAATTATACAATATAAAAATAATGAAGAGATTTTTAATGCCTTTGGTGCAGTTTACAGGGTTATTAATGTGAAAAGACCCATTAAATTGACCTGTTTAATGACCCCTGACTGATTAGCTTCACCTGGATTCAATTTGATGGTTAAATGTCCTTTTTTTTGGCTTTTATGTCTCTGAATCAGCATCCAGCTGCTCTACCAGCTCTGAGTTACACAAAACAAGAACAAATACGCCGTATTCCAAATTATTATGCAAATGATATTTTTCTCAGATTTTCCTAAATAGTCGATGCAAATGACAGTCAGTATAATTTTCAAGTCATCAACCGTTAGAGTATAATTCAAATTTTATTGAACAAATCTCCTAATGATAACAGAT